CAACAGGGAGCGGCAAGGGATCGGGCGGGGGATTGCCAATGCAGAGAATCTTCGACTTGGTGGAGTTGAGCTCTGCGCCGGACAAAGCCGCATAGGTCGCAAAAACCTGAAGCGCACACAGAACACTGTCGCCATCCCGGGCGAAGAGCGTCACATCGTCAGCGTACGCAGTCGCCTTGACCTGACCCGTTCCTGGGAGCTGTAGACCCCGAACGTTCGAGGCTCTCTCAAGTCCAAGAAGGAAAGGTTCCAAACTGAGCACAAACAGGAGCGGGGAGAGAGGGCAACCCTGACGAACGCCCCGCGTGACCGGGAAGCGTGCGGCCGGGATTCCATCGACAAACAAGTCGCTTTGCATACCGTTATAGAGACACTCGAACAGAGCAATGCTTTTCGGAGGTAATCCAAAGGCGGCCAGGACCCTGAACAGATATTTGTGTTCTACGCGATCGAAGGCCTTGGCCTGATCAAGGGATACTAGCAGACCGCCTGCCCGTCGGGATCGCGTGTACTCCACGAGGTCCCGCGTAAGGGCGACCAGTGAATGGATGGTGCGACCTGGAACCGAGCATGTCTGCCGCAGATTAATCAGTTCTGGGAGTACGGTCCGCATCCGCAACGACAGAACAGTGGTCAGAAGTTTGTAGTCCGCGTTCAACAACGTAATTGGGCGCCAAGCACCCGGGTCGCCAGGGCTTCCCCCTTCCTTGGGGAGAAGAACTATTCGACCAAGCCGGAAGGATGCAGGAAGGCACTGTTCCTCAAAGAAAACCCGTAAAACGCCGCAAAAAAAATCGCAAAGAACAGGCCAAAAGGTCTTATAAAACTCTGTTGGGAGTCCGTCCGGCCCGGGCGCCGAGCCTGATTTCATTCGCGAAAGGGCGTGTTGAAGCTCCGCCGGGCTAGGGCATTGCTCTAAGGTCGAACCAAAATCGTCGGGAACTGTTGGAAGCCCACAAAGAAATGGGTGGTCGAGTAGTTCAGGGCGACCAGCTTCATCTTCTGCCTGCGCGAGAGCCCTAAAGTGGGAGGCAAAGGTTGGAAGGTGGACTGCGTCTGTGGGGATGCTTGTCGAGGGAACAGGGGCAGGGTTCCACAAGGGCGCGCTAGAACCGGGCCGCTGAGCCCGCCGGGAGTATCGAAGGACTTCGGGATGAGTCGCTGGACAACGGTTTACCCAAGAAACCGTAGAGGCCGTTGTATCAGTGCGGAGTAGGCACTGGTAGCGTTGCTGAAGTTGTGCCAAGTACGTTTGCATAAGAGAAGTGGAAGCACCACCCCTGCGGACAATGCGTATGCGGAGAATCGTATCCTGAAGGAGCGCACGACGGTCCGCTCGAAGGTGCCGCCCCTGCATGGAGCATAAATCCCGCCACCTGCCCTTGAGGTGGTCCCACGTGGCGGGGGTCGGGCGCATTCCAACAAGAGACTGTTTTATTAGGGTGGACAGCGTTGTCTTGGCGGATTCATTACGCAAAACTCGAACGTCCAGACGCCAAGGACGCATGCCGCTCGCCTTGGGTAGAGAGAGAGCGACGATAACGGGGCTGTGATCCGACACGCGAACCGGAGTCGGGGAAAAACAACCGCAGTGCATGACGTCAGCGCCGTGGTCAACCGACGCGGCACGTAAACGCGATCCAAGCGGCAGCTGGTCCTGCCGTCGCTCCATGTGGGTTGAAAACTGGCGCCATGAAGGAAAGACCACGCATCCTCAAGTGCAAAATGACGCACCAGTCTCTGCAGTTCACGTGCATTCCAAACTGATCGTCCCATTCCCGGGCCCCGGATGTCTGTCATCGAGTCAAAAACGCAATTAAAATCTCCCACAATAAAGCAAGGACAAGCATCGAGTAGATGGACGTCGAGGTTGTTAAAGAAGGAATGAGAAAAAGCGTGGTTCGCGGGGGCGTAAACGTTAATAAGCCTGTACTTTATGCCCTGAAAAACAAAATCAAAACGGATCACCCGACCTTCCGTGTCAAACAAATAGGAGCCATGACGCAGCAGTTCATGGTTCAAGACCACAATGCCTACGCCGCACGAACTCTGCGATGCAAAAGAAAAAAAAGACGTCACAGAAAAAGCAGCCTCAAATTCTGCAACCTCACGCCGGCTTGAAAAATTTGTTTCCTGAAGGCAGAGGATATCGGCAGCTGCTTGTTTGGCAAAGTGTAATATCTCCGTCTGCTTCGCCCGGTTGCAAAAGCCACGAACGTTAAAGGAAATAATTCGCAAACTGGCCAGGAAAAAAAGCAGAAAAAAAAAAAATAAAAGGAAACAGTACCTTGTAACATCTACTCACTAAACGTCCTCAGCCGAGCTGAACGAGGTGTCACGTGAACTTGGTCGCGGCTTCTTGGGGCGACGACCAGCCTTGTCTCGTCCTCGAGGGGAACGAGAGCCGCTGCTTGAGATGGCGCGCTTGGCGTCTAAGGCCTGTCCCCGGCGTGCGTCTGTCGGGTCCGAGTTGCCTGCGAGGTCCGAGGGCTCCGAGCTGTTGGTCGAGTCCTTGTTGCCTGCCGTCACTGGCGCCACGGAAGTACTTGGGGCTCCCAGAGAAGAAAGGGAAAGGTCCTCCGCCACAGGCGACTCGTCCTCCATGATGACGAGGCGCTCGTCGTCGCTAGAGACCTCGGGGTCCTCCGTCACCTCGCTCCACGGGGTGTGGGTGTCCACAGCAGACAGGCTGGGTGCCGGTGTGACGAGTTGCGTCTCGGGGGCCATCGCACCCGTCGCGTCCGTCAGCGGAGCCGGAGGCGGTCGTCCCCCTGACAGCGCGGACTGGGAGTTCTTCGGGTCGACGTTGGCTTGGGGCTTGGTTAGGTCTGTGGACGCTCCTGTCTGGGCGGCTGGGCGAGGGGGAGACACCTCATGTGCTGGGGACAGCGGAGGAAAATCAGACGAGGCTGTCCCAGCGACCATAGACGAGTAGCTCCGCCGAGCCACGCAGTCCACAGTTGCGTGGGAGCCGCCGCATCGCCGACAATCAGACGTGCAACCTTCCGTAGCGTGTCCGAAAACAGCGCACCGGTCGCAGTGCTCTGTCGTGCAGTTGGCGCGAATGTGTCCTTCCAGTCGGCACCGCCGGCATACCCGCTTGATGCCCGGGTAGTCGAAGGTCGCCCGGTGGCCTCCGATACGAAGGAAGTTAGGGACCGGGTCCGACTCCTTCATCTCGATTCTCACATATCTTGTCCCAGTCTTTACGGTTGGTGTGCTGCGGTACGTTGCATGCGTGATTTCCAGGACCTTCCCGTGAGCGGACAGGGCTTGAACCAGCAGGTCGTTGCGGACATAGGTGGGCAGGAACATGCAAGTGACGTTCGTCACCTGAGGTCCGGCTGGAACGATGGGGACTTGGGTAGAGGCGATGGTGATGACGCCGGCTTCGGTGAGCTTGGCGGCGGCGAGACGGCTGTTGATAACGATTTCAAAACTTTGCGCACCAAGGTGCTGCGCTGAGTAGACTTCAGGAAGTCCGACAACGCCGGCGACAGCATGAATGAGGTCGTCCGGCGAGGTGCCCAAGGGCACGACAACGCCGAAGGCGCGAGCCTTCGGCGGGGGGGAGTGCGGCGCTGACGCAGCAGCCATGACGATGCGTCTCTCTCAACGCAAAGACACGTACGACGGACCAGCCACCCCCGTCTCCCCGGGGGACGCGCCGCGTTGAGCTACGGAAGTTAAAATGCACCTAGGGCGGGACGTGCTACCTGAAAGGCCCGTTGAGGCATGGTTGTATAAAAACAATATTAATTGTGCCGCAAAACCCTGCAAACTAAAGATTTTAAAAACATAACGCGCCCCTCTTTTGGTACTAAACTCCAATAAATTTCATACAAAAAGAGTCTTTTTCGTTTGTTTTTACGCAAAAACAGGCTTTCAAAAAGCTCAAGGTGACCACAGTACAGACAAATGATAAAGAGTGGCGCTGTTGTCGCATTTAGCTCGGTCTCGGTGGACGCCAGCGGCCCAGGTTTCGACGGCGAGTTTCCCAACTGAATGTTTTAGTAACGTTGGCAGCAGCGAAGATTGGTTTGACGAGGACTGGCATTCTACGCCGAACTTTCGTAACTCTGAGCCGGCCTGCGGTCGCAGTCATGACCCGTTCTCGAGCTCGAACGCCCGAGTGCGTTGCCAGACTGTGACGCTGCGCTCGTGCCCAATCATTCGGTGGCATGGCCTGCACCACGTTACCCTTTCTCGACACCAGCAACACTGATTATGCTTTGTTTTTCCCTTTAACACTCTAAAAAATGTCTGTGCGTCTACTTTCACGCACACCAATCGGAGAGCCAATCACCGCAACTTACAGAGGCAGCTCAGCGAATGACGATGGGGAAACATAATTTTAGACCAAAGAACGCAGTCGGACTTGTGACATTACGCAATGCAAAGCGTCATGCTTGCATTGCTTAATGTCACAACTCAGAGTGCGTTTCTTGGTCTAAACATATGTTTCGGCATTGTCATTGGCTGAGCTGCCTTTGTAAGTTGCGGTGATTGGCTCTCCGAGTGTTGTGCGGGAAAGCAAACTCACCGGCTTTTGTGGCGTCAGAATGGCAAACTCTGATCGGCTCTGATTGAAAGATAGTCGGTAGACCTCAAGCCAGCTTGCTTTGAGGTCTAATCACTCTCCTTCAGTCAGGGCCAATCAGAGCTCAGCGTTCTGACGTCACCACAACCCCTACAAAAGAAGCAGACGAACTTGCGCTCCGCATAGCACCCAATTGAGGTACCTCCTGTTCACTCTATGGGGCTATACGAGGGTTCAGAATTTATGGTGAACAGCAGCTTCGTTCAATTTACCTTCACTTCCTGCACCGGTGCAAACGAGTGTAGGACAGTCTACTTCCGGTGTGTGTATTGAGATAGGACCGGAAGTACACCACTTTTCTGCAACGGTGCAGGAAGTGCAGGTAAATCGAACGAAGCTACTGTTTAGCCGAAGTAATCGTCTCTTGGCCTCTTTAAGCATGTTGCTTGGTCGGTTCCAGCAATGCGCCTTGACGCCCGCAGCGTGAACCTTCCAAAGCTGACCGATTCCAGCATAGCGTGTCGGTCCAAGTTCCTGCCCGAAGTCGTGGACAGTGATCCGACGTACATTTTGAGCCCCAACTACGACGGGATCTCCCAGTATCCACCCAACACATTCTGCGCCTGGAAGTTGCAGGTCCCACCTGGGAAGGTAAGGTATCTTTGGCGTTTTTATTTACATGGTTCGGGCGAATAGGTGGGTGCTACAGACGGCAAATAGCAGACGCCAACCGCTCCTGTTTACCAACGCTGCCGGAGCAACTCTCCAATCAGATAACGGCGCTTGGACGTCACTATAACCCTTTGGATGAAAAGGCAGACTTGCTCGCCATACCCTGAACATGTCAACCAGAAGGCTTCCTGACCCCACTGTTCATGAAACCAATCTCTATTTAATTTGAGGCCCCTCGCTACGTACGTGCAGTATACCTTTTTTAAAACCCGATCAAGCAACATTAGCGGTCACTATTTCTTGTGGACGAACCATGCGATTGAATCTATAGTCCTCGCCTAATGCTGACAGAGCACTCGTATCCGATACATGCTGATGGCGCACGCCCGAGCAAAGGCGGGATCGGATGAACGGCGTATCCTAATACCGTAACTTTTTTGGCGTCCCACAGTGTGCGACCAGCCTAAAACGATGCGGCTCGTACGAGAACGCATCCTTGCGTTTGGGCATTTTCCCACACGAAGAACCGGTCACTGCGACCTAGGGAGGAACCTGACTGAATAACGATGCTAAAAATATGTCGGGACCCGATAATGACACCTTCGATGTGACACGCGCGCATGACATATTAGACATTCCGATATCATACTCAGTGTTACATCGCGGACTTTATTATTTTTAGGCCTAGACATATTTTCAGCCTAGCCATTCGCCGAACTCCCACCGTACATTGCAGTGATTGGCTCTCTGAGTGCTCTGCCGGAAAGAGAAAGCAAGGACTATTTTTGGGAGCGCATATGTTTCATCTCACTCAACAACAAACACGTTCACGGGCTGCAAGCTACGGGCTGCAAGGTCCAATTAGGAGCCAGTTAGAAACCACGCGGTGTGTTGCCTTGTATGTGTACAGCAGCGGTGCACCGATACTAAAACCGGCGCAATGTATCACGTGCCTTTCGACTGACTCGTGACTGACCCTGGAAGCGCGCAGCTTTGGCTATTGTCCACCATAGGGTGGGACGAAGTACACACGGATTACACGTGCCGTCTTCGCGCAGTGCTGGTGGTCATTCGTTTTTGTTCTTGCCGATGAGAACAAAGTACTTGTTGTGAAATGTATGCGGCGGAAGGAAAGCGCCGCTGACGTGACTTCAATGGAAGCCATCCATGGCTTCCAATGACATCCCATCAACGAAAGTTTGTAGCGACTTTTCCGCTGATTGCGTACGTTCCCAACATGCATTTCGGACCATCGAATTTGGTCTTCTCGGCAAGAACAAGTCGGAGTGACCACGGACCACCGGCACGATGCGATGACGTAACGAGCAAGCCATGCATAACCACAACGTAGCTTGACCTTCGTAATACATCGCAGGCAATCCATCTGGCGTTTGAAGAGTTCTCACTGCGCGACTCGTTCAACTGTAGCCTGGACTACCTGGCCGTCTACGCCGGCGAAGACCTGCCGCGGCTCGCGGGCGACGAGCCTCCTCCCTTGGTCAAGTGGTGCGGACCGTGGTCTCCCGGAGAGTACGTTGTGTCCGCCAACGCGGCGGCGAACCTCGTCTTTGCGTCCAGCGGCGGTCCGGACACGTCGCTGGGGTTCGTCGCTCGCTACTTCGTCGCAGATGCACCCGTCGAAGGTAAATAACACCATCTTGAAAACATATGGTGGTCACGCCACGCGATGACTGTGGCGTCAGCCGCAGTAAGTGTGGCTCCGGTTGACAGTGACTGACAGCTGAAGAAGTGCGGGACGTGGCGAGCTACGGGCATCACGTGATCGCCCCGCAGCCAGTGAGGTTGCGGCATTAGCCCGATAAGAACACCGAACAACCAATCACAAAGCAAGAAGCTTGAACATAATAACCCACGCTCTGCGTTTCTTGGGAGGGTTTGTATTTACGTGAAACGTTCTTTGGCTAGGTGTTTGGCATTTCGTGAAGCCTGGATAAAAGCGTGGCCGCGAGGCTCAACACTGATTGGTTGGGTGCTCGACGCTGATTGGTTAACGGGGAGGTCATGTGACTAGTAGGCTAGGCGAGGAGGAGCTCGACCACCTGTGCGCACTGAGGAAGAGGAGCTCGCGAATATGGAAAAGCCGCCTCGGTGGCTCCGAGGCGAGAGCGCCGGCCTACGGATCCCCAGGTGGCGTGTTCGAATCCCGACCGAGGTGCCCGCAATATGACGGAGGCTTATTGCGGAGAAGGCGCCGTGCAACCGAGCTTTCGGTTGCACGTCAGAAGATCCCCAGGTGGTCGAAATTAATCCTCAGTCCTCCGCTGGGGCGTGCCAGATGCCCGTCGTAGGTTTGGCACGTAAAACCCCCAAATTTGACTTTGATTTGGCGAATATGGAAGAACGCCAGGCTTATCAGTCCGGTTGGCACTAGTATCGCTTTATACTTCGGTTCACGCAAAGTCTAAACGCAGCCGACGCTACGAACCGATTGGACCAATCCGGCAGCGTTTCTGCACTGTGCGTGTTCTATAATCGCTGAGCCAATCATAAACATAACATGCCTTGTTACTTGCGCTTTTGATGCTGCTTGATTGGTCCCATTGCCTCGTGGCGTCGGCTGCCTCCGGGCCTAAGTTGAAACGAGGTATAAGAAAAACTATCAAGTGTACTCATGGTACGCGTTAGACTATCCGATGAATAACGCCGTGAACTCGGTGTATCGCTAGATGTTTGTAATGCAAGAACGTTTCCCGTATGCAACACATTTGCTTAGAAAACATTTTATAGTTTATTTATTTGCCTTTCTGTTTCGCTTTTCAAGACGAATGCAAGGACGACGAACTTCGGTGCAGGAATGGTCAGTGCGTCGACGCCACCGCCAAATGCGATCACCAAGATGATTGCGGGGACGGCACGGACGAAGAAAATTGTGGTGAGATCTTTCAAGACTGCGTACCGTGCATGCATCACTCACGATAAATTACTCCCACACGCAGAAATATAACTTACACTCTCTGAGAAATAGGGTCCTATATACGTTTGCAATAAACACGACTCCGACCAACCTTTCTTAGATAGCAAGGCCCTAGTACTGAATATTGAGAATTAACTAAAAAAAAAAAAAAAAGAGAAGGTGGAGCCCAGATTGGATGCAATGCCGCGACACTGGTCTGCTGGGACTCGTGTGCAACTAGTGAGGGCACAGGTTCCAGCCGAACGCCGACTCGACTCTGGTGTGTGGCCCACGTTGGCCTTCTTAGAACAACGCCGAAAATTCAGCTCTATACGACTCTGGACTGTGTCGCTCCGACTTCCAAATAAATTAAAGTGTCTGGTGAAGAATTTCGTTTAAAAACTATTTGACAAGGGTTGTGAATCACTCTGACCGCCGCGATCCTGGTGGTTGATAGTAGAAGTGACGGCACGAGACAACCGGCCATCGTTGGAGGAGCTAAGATGTCGAAACCCCGGCTAACGTTTCCTGAAAAAGAGTGTCAGCATACACTGTCTGTGGTGCGTTTGTTCCTCGTTCGACGGCCTTGTCACATGGGTCATTCAAAAAATCGTCTGCCGACATGTTGACTGCATGCGAATGTATAGACCAACTCATCTCACTGACGTCACGTTACTGCGGTGGCGCTGCTGTCGGTACTACGCATGCGCAAACGCTTCACTTCACGCGAATTCGGTTTCTGCGCACGCGCAGTGCCCACACCTGCTGTGGGTAAAGCGGGCTTGTTTGGAAACACCGTGTTGGTGTATAAAGACGTATGGAGCAACCGTTTTTCATTGCCCTCTTTGCCTATTGTATGCACTAACACGTAGCCCTCACGTAACGGCGCGCTGCGGTGGAACTGCTATGGGCTGTGCCATCGTATACTGCAGGCCGAGCCCGGCGTCCTTCGACAGACAGACATAGAGACTAGGCCCCAACGTTCACACAGAACTCGTGTCTAATCTGTGTGTAAAAGCTTGATGTCGATATGATGACGTCAAAATACTCGTGCACGGGCTTCGATTAATCTTGGGGGCTGTTGATAAAGTGCGTTGGTGCTTCGCAGTGCGACGCCAGAAGGGGTAGAGGAGACTAAAGCCGGAAAGAGACCAAACAACGAAACGACGCAACCTATACACTCGTGTCTCACCTAGAGTCACTAAACGAGCTACGCTTAGAGTATTGGCAGTCTGTTCCCCGAACATTGTTGTGGGCGCCGCCATCTTGGTGCTTAGTGGAGAGCAGACGCGACTGCCGATCGTCACGATTCAACAGTGCGACTTTCTCAGCATTAGATTCGGTGTTAGAAAGCTCGTGTAATCTTGCTTTGCTTTTGTCGCGAACTGTTTAAACATTTGTGGAGGACGGAAAAACGTTTCTTGTGATTTCAGATAAAGCTTCAGATAACTGGCAGCCATGAATTTAAGCACCAAGATGGGTAAGTGTCGTTACCCTGAAGCGTAGCCTATTTAGTATCTCTGGTTTAACCATATATTTCAGAGTGCAGATAGACGCAGTCAAAAAGTGAAAGGTCACAGCGAACTCACTGTGCTTGACTATTTTAGCCGATGATGGCACACACACTCAATACGAGGACGAAAGCCGTGACGTTTGCTGCGCTCTGACCTAAAGTCGCACGAAGTATAATAACCCTGTGCACTAAAATTTTGACTCCATCAGAATAGAGTCACATCCAACGTTACTATAACCACTCAGATGAAAAAATGCCATAGAGCCTGCTCTGAAAAAGAGGCACCGATCCGTATTCGAGAACCGAGCTAATGGCGATCGCCACGCCGCCATTTCTCCCGCAGCGGCCACTCGAGGAACTGCACGTGACTTTTATTTTGGCTTTAATCGGTTATTTTAGCGCCGAAACATATGCGGTGGAAGAGGGGTGCCATCCCCGTCTCCCAAGCGGAAGCGCCGCGAATTACTACCGAAGTTAGGATGCGCTTAGGTCGGGACGCGCTACTTGAAATCACCACTGATACATGGTTGGATGAAAACAATATTATTTGTGCCGCAAAACCTTGCAAACTAGAGATTTTAGAAAACGTCACCCGCCCTTCATTTTGTACTAAACTCCAATAAACGTTACTACAAAAAGAGTTTTTTTTTTTCGTTGGTTTTTACGAAATACATGCCTTCTAAAAGCTCAAGGTGCACTACAGTACAGACAAATGATAAAGAGTGGCGCTGTTGTCGTATTTAGCTCGGTCTCGGTGGACGCCAGCGGCCCAGGTTTCGACGGCGAGTTTTCCAACTGAGTGTTCTAGTAACGCTGGCCAGATCAGACTACGAGGCTTAATGGTTTTCTGGTGATTTTGTTTTCGTTCCCAGGATACCCACTTCTTGAGAACGTCACCTGTGGTGAGCCGACCGTCAAGCCGTTCTCTCTCAACGACGGTGACGAAGGCGACACGTACATCGTTGGCGGCAGGAAGGCGAAGCCAGATAGTTGGCCCTGGCAGGTTTCCCTGAGGCTGTTTGATGACCCTATCTACGGGCACAAGTGCGGTGGGGCCATCTTGAATGAACAGTGGCTCGTCTCCGCCGCCCATTGCTTCAGAAAGTGAGCGTTTTTTTTTACCTTGTGCTACGCCGTTTTTGCGAGTTGGCTTCTTTTTAAGCTTAGCCGCAATAGCCCTCGGTAGACTTGAAAAAAAAAAGTTGCAGGAGGATTGCGACTTTGTAAAACTTAGGAGAGAAGTCACGTGACGTCATGACGTCAGATGGCACTATGACGTCACGGTGCGACCGGTGCGACCTGACTGACACCGCGTGCCCGCGCGACATTTCCTAGGTGTGGCACAGACCCAGTGCAGCTCAAAATGCGCTGCACATTTCTTCTCCCAACTTTCTCAGTAGGATTAAGATATACATATTTTTAGTTTTTTCTCTGCATCTTGTTTAGAGTAAAAGAAAGTGCCATTTTCCCTCTCAACAAGCCACGTTCTCTAAGTTTCTCGTTTCATTCAGTCGTATTTCTTGTCAGCTGGGGCGAGCCCTCCGATTGGATCGTCTTGGCCGGAAAGTACTTCTTGATCGAGGAAGAAACGACTCAACAAGAGCGCTATGTGGACTCCATCTTCGTTCATCCGGGCTACCAGATGGAAGTTGTGAGTTTTCGTTTTGTCTCCTGAGAGAGAAATAATTGTTTATTTACAGTCACGAAGAGTTCAACCTGCTCAAAAAATGATTTGCTACTTCGCAATCTTTTTCTGTGCACACACACTTCTGCACGCACACTGTCTCAAACGGGACAATGTGTGTGTGCTTGTCCGTTTTTTTATGTGTTCCCAGTTTCGGTGTTTACATTGTATAGTTAATTCATCAGCTCTCCTGCGCTTTTCCGCTTTCATCATTAACTTACCTCAAATTAAAAAAAAGAAAAAAGAAAACAAATAAGAGGGGCAGCGTAGCAGTTGACGTGCTCTGAAGACGGCGTGTGCTGCCAGTCTCTAGGTGATTGACGTGAAGTTTGAAATAAAACTGTTGAGCACATGTTTAACAAAGTTTGAACGAAGTTTGAAATTAAAACAAAAAAGAAATTACGCTTTCTCTTTGTTATTTTTGTCATCGTAACGTAAAAGAACATACGTTTTTATCCTTGTACTAAGGAATATATATTTCTTAATCGCAAGATAATTTTTGAAAGAATGTATTAGGAAATATAATACTTTTTTCAGTAATATTTCATTACCTTTGGAATGTTCTAATTAATAACTGTGCTGAATTACGTTTTTTAATTAAGTAATTGAAATTGTAACGAGCTACATTTTTCACTAATAAGAACAAGACTGGATAAAGTATCACCAACAGACGGCCCCGATGTCACACCGCAGCAGAGACACTGCTGTCGGCCGCGCGCATGCGCGGAAGCCTCAGTTCACGCGAGTCCGGTTCCCGTGCATGCGCGCACCTCGTGTGGGCTTGTTTGGAAACAGCGCGTTGGCCTATACACCGACGGATTGTTGATAAACAAGCGTGTAGTTACGTGAAAACTGTGGCCACCGTAGATATCTAGAGAGCTATCTGATTCACGAGAAGTGCAAGCAAGGTCGAACTCTACGAGCGCGAGCGTACTGCTTCGAACTACTCTTGTAATGCGCAAGTGCGCGCATGCTCGGCAGTTTCGTTCAAAGCACGGAGCTCGCTCTTGCAACTCCTGCTAAGCTTACACTTAAAGTGACGCAAGGGCATGCCAAATGCCCTCACTTTACGCGTGAGGCGTCAGAATAGTGGGCTATTGCCATAAGTGACAACAGAGATACAAGTTCACGCATGGGCCTAACCATGCGTCATGTTGTCTTTTTTTTTTTTTTTTTTCTATGCATATTATTATCTTGTTTCCTTTTATACAGAACGGTATCTTGCCTCTTCCCGCAGCGACCTACCTTGATTGAAAACAGAAAAGACCACGACATTGCACTGCTGAAGCTGAATGCTCCGCTCAAGCTGAATGCTCAGGTGCAGCCGATCTGTTTTAACAAGATGCCCGAACTGCCCACCAACACAACCTGCTACGTCACAGGCTGGGGCGCCACGAAAGGCAAGTAGCAGTCGTAATGTCCGACGTTGTACGCGTGCACTAACGTGCCATAGAGCAAGGGTGCGTAAAATTGGAGATCGTGACCATCTGGAGTAGAGTGACCAAATACTTCACTAGAGAATGCATTCCACTGCATTCATTTGTTTTAAACAGCGTGCTTACACCGCCAAATCTTCCTCGAGTAGTGTGTGCAGTACGTGTCCGAAAGGACGAATATGCATCGGCCTGTCCATGTTGTCGCGCAGTCGCTCGGGGTAGACAGAGAGAGAGAGAGAGGGCTGCCGCCGGCGCACCGGGTTGCAAGGGCTCGCCGAGACAGCAGAGACGGCTGTCTTGAGTCTTGACTGGCGCTCGAGTGCCCAGAACGATAAGTGAGGGCAGTCACCCCCTTCAATTCAAAGAGGAAAACGCCAAGGCTACGGCGCATCCAGCCATTCAAACTCCGCAAAACGTCTCCGTGTCAATGCCATGGGGATTTTCGCGGAGTGAGATGAACTCCCCTAGTGGAGCATTTGGTCGAACTATGAGCCCACAATAGACTATGTATACATCAGAATTTCCTCGTTTTCTTTCAGTGTGTAAGAACATTCTGAATGTTTGCTTAACCAAAGCAAGTACAGACAGACGTTTGATCCAAGAGTCATCTTGGTGCACTGGAGGACAAATCGAATCTGACATAGTGCTTGAACATCCGTGTTGCAGACAAAGAGACGAGCGCGGTACTGAAGCAGGCTGCGGTTCTAGTACTTCGACAGGAAGATTGTGCTCGCTACTACAACGGCACCTTCATCATCAACGACCTGATGTACTGCGCGGGTTACTCAGAGGGACAACACGATTCCTGCCACGTGAGTTCTCGGACGCTTTTAAAATGGTGTGCTTGTCATCGTCCTATTTAGCCCACGAAACTAAGGGATCATTTAAGACTCCAGTAGTCTTTGTCCTTGCATTTTATATATGCTTCAAATATGCTGATTGCTATCAAGAACGCTCCAGTCAGAGAGCCAAGTCTTCATTCCGGCAGAACCCCCTTCGGGCCAATCTACGCAGTCTACTCATGAAGCACAGCGAATGAGGAGATCACATCAAAGATGTCGACCCACAAAATTCAGTCTAGACTGTGACAGCGAGCATGACGCGATCACGTAAATGTCATGCTCAATGTCAAATCACAAACTTTCTTTTTCGAATAAAATATTTCTTTCACCTCGTCGTTCAAAGACTTCCTTCCAAAACGCGTACCGATTGACTTTTCAAGTGATCTCTTGAAAAGTGGACGCACTGTCATTGTTTAGGTGCCAATGCGTCTATTTTAAGTGTTTGTCATGTTGTCTATGAAGCATTTCAACAATCTCCATCTGCAAGGTGCCATCTTTGTTTATTGGGACCTGGAAGCATTCTGAGCATGCGCAATAGCTCTTTTCAGGAAAATATCAGACATCCCACATGCGTTCATAACCCAACTACTAATTTTTTTTTTTTACTGGTCCATAATGGTTGCAAAGGCGAATATAATAACTTATAAGCAGTGCTCTTGATTGTGCAATGCGTTAGCGGCGACCATATGATGCTATTTTGCACGCGAGTTTAGCATTTAAACAACGTCGAACACCGCAGCTTCCACCCCGCTTTTCCTGCAGCACCAACAAGGTCGCAACTGCGAGATCGCCAGTAAAATTGCACCATCTGAATCAGGCAACCCTATCGCCAAGCACAGCCTTTAATGTTGAGTAGAGAGACCCGACAAGCTGTTCTTTCCGGTGCTTGTGCGTGTGTGTATATTTTTTTGAACTTAAACTGAACAAGTGAAAAACCATTGGTTTTCAGGGCGACAGTGGAGGACCTCTGGTGGTGAAGCAGTCCGGTCGTTGGCTGCTCGCCGGTGTTGTCTCTGGAGGTCTTAAGTGCGGCGCACCTCAGCACCCGGGAATCTACACCAAGCTTTCGCCACACTACGACTGGATTCATGACGTAATATTGGCAAATCATTCGATCTAGCTCTCCTAAAGCTGGGCGCCGAGAAACTGAGGGAGGAGACGAGGAGTTGAGAGCGCGAGTGGGGACGTCAGAACGCCGATCTTTAGTTTGAACGATTAGTGGGTAAGCCTAAAGCTATGTGCCTTTGTCTCCACTGCACTCGTTGAACGCGTTCGAATGCGAGCCTAACGCAGGACGCCGGCATTTCGCGTTCTAACGCGCTGGACGAGTGCAGTGTCATAGCCTCCTATATACTGACAAAGCCTGGCAGATTGCCACGAGAAGCGGCCGCCGAAATGGAAAAGGTGGAGCGGCGGACAACGGATGAAAGGAGAGCCACGTGACTGGCGCCCCGCTGCGGCGAGACGCCGAAACACATTTCTCCCGAGCGAACAAATGTGTTTCGGCTTCTCGCCGCTGTAAAAGCTGTGCGCTGACGTCCAGGTTCCCCGAGAAATGGCTCTCTGATGATCTGTGCTACCAGATCCTCGCGCTCCAAATCTGTGACTAAGCGTCGTCGAACAAGGGCAGCTACTTTTCGTACCAACCAGATCTCGGCGTTGTAATGACCCTCTCATATCCTCCTCTCCCTCACTTTCTCGACGCATTATTTGCAGAAAAAATTTAGAAAATGCCAAACTCTGGCTGTTCTGACAGTTGAGGACGCACGGCTACTGCACGAGCGCTCGCAGCCGAGGTGCCGAGGCGCGATTCAACAAAATCAACGCTTCTAGCATTAAACCTGTTATCTGTTGTCGCTAGAACGATCGTGGGGCTTTATTTCGCCTTTGATCACAGAGCCACAAACCTAAATAAAATGAGCCAACGTCAACGCGTTTTTCCTTCCCCAGACATCGGAAGACAGAAATCCCCTTCTTTACTATTTTTGTGTTGGCGCGTGTGTGTATATCTGTCTGTCTGTCTGTCTGTCTGTCTGTCTGCCTGTCTGTCTGCCTGTCTGTCTGTCTGTCTGTCTGTCTGTCTGTCTGCCTGTTTGTTTGTCTGTGTGTGTGCGTGCGTGAGTGCGTGTGTGTCGGTGTGTGTGTGTGTGTGAAAAAAGGAAGGGAGGGGGGAGAGAGTGGAGGCACGTATGTACGTCTATCTTTGCGATAGGTAAATGAACGTAACCTTTTCGAACGTGCTGCTTGTAGCCCCAAGGATAGACATTCTTAATATTCTTTTATCGGTAACTGAGCTTCTTCAGCCTTCCGGACCGTGAGTCAACCGAACAGACAAAAACAATATTTTATTTTTGATTAAAAACAAATACTTTTTTTTTACTTTATCGGAAACATTTTTATTAAACAATAAACAGTAGAGAAGCATAAAAATTCGATGCCGTCGTTTAAGCCGGAGGAGACCTGGTTATGATTCGTTCTCTTGAAAACCCTGTGAACGTAAAGCGTAGAAACATATTGCTCGTGTTATAACTCAGCGCTGGCGAATAAATAAAACCAGTTATATCATGGAATTCGCTAAAAAAACCTATACTCATCAGAAAGAGCAGAAAGACCACTATTTCAATAACACAAATAAAAAGTTTTCTGTGTTTGTGTTGTATTTTGCTGACAAGTTTTGATTATGCACCTAACTTGAAAGGCAAGAGCAAGCTTCTTTGATTACTGTCCGTATGCCCTGATTTTGCTTTGCTTCATATCTGCTTGTGGTAACTTTATCATATTGCATGGATAACTTGGCCATATAATCGTTCTTAATATTGCTCTTGAACATTGTTTACTTAGCATCATCTCTAGATGCCTTGGAGGTAAAATAAACAAAATGAAAGATTTACTAACTGAAGACTTCCAAAATACTCATAATTGAACACAAGCTTTTTTAATAGCGTAAGAGAGCGCGCGTCAAAATCTATTGTATGGCAGATATTCGCGCGTTTAAAGTAGAGAAGGCTACAACTCGAATGAAAGCATTGTACACACTACGTTTCCCTTTTTACGGGCTTGTGTCATGTATAGTTACAGAAACAACCTTAGAATAATTATATTGAAGAAAAGTGTTCCCGTTGCGCGAATATCGACCAGAGTTTAACAGATAATATTGTGTCAGCTCTAGGGTTTTCCTTCTTGTATCTTCAAGAAATTAACATGAATTTTTCTTTTGCTTGAAAGTCGACTGCAGAGATTTGAAGCAAGTTAGAATATTTGTTGTTCTGTATATGCTTACCTCGATGAAACAGCGTTTTCTTGCTTCACGGATCTAAAATAAATGACGATAATGCTGTTATTAGACGCCGCAGTTCAATGATAATAGAGTTTCAAAGTTAAACAGGTCGAGGTTACATTCGTTTAGATAATGCTATTTTTAGATGCCATAGTTCAATGACCATGGAGTTTCAAAGTTAAACAAGTTGAAGTTACATTTGTTTAGAGGCGCTGAAAATAATCTTGAAGATTTTACTCTAATCACAACAGAAAAAAAACAAATTGTATGCTTTGACATTTCCCTATATTATTCATGATGTTACCGTGCCAGCTGCTTAGGTCTTTAATCGGTAATATGAGCCATTTCATAGTCATAAATTCAGCACAATGGTTGCCGATTTTATTATGTCTGGTGTTTGTCCGCTTACATTAAAAAAAACACGAAACAATATTTATGGTTAATGATAAAAATAAACTCTTCACACGATTCTAAAGAGTAGACCACGTGTCAATTCTTGAACATATGTTTTTTTTTTTTGTCTCTCCGTTTTAGCTTTTTTTTTCCGCGGGCACATGGTCATGTGTACGAGATGTGTCAGTTGTCACCAGAAAGCCTTCATTCCGAAACAAATATAAAGAAGGATTATCCTTTGTTTATGAATAATCCGCTCAAAACTCTAAAAATAGCTGCAACAAAAAAAAAAAAAAAAATCATACAGCTAATCACTTATTTGCGGAAGAGTGCGGGTCACCGGAACTTCGAGATGACGTCATATCCGGTTCTCAACTGTCAACTTCGATCTCACGGCAAGTTGTGAACTTACCATATGCTTCGGTACTCTCCACTGGTAGGTTCGGAGGATGCACGCTTTGCACTTGTTAGCCACGTCCTAGAACAACAACACAAAATGTTTTCACGTTCCATCAGTACTCTTTTCTCACCTTCAAAACCAAAAGAAAAGCAGTTTGGCTTCTCGTGGAGCGTTGCTAACTGTCCACTTAATGCGGTGAATTCGGATGCTTGTCTGTCCATTCAATATTGGTTATACATTATTTTACAGAAACGTACATGTTCCAAACACGAAAAGATATTTTTTTCCTTATCTGACAACCAAATATTGTAAGAACTAATTCATACAACCTATAAACTATGGGCAAAAATGTATTTTTAGGTGACAAATAGTATAGGATCGCGTATTTTGCCATCAAACCAGTTTTTTTTTTTCTTTCTTAAAGATGGCAAAAACAAAGCGCACTAAAAGGAGACCATTGCTACCGTTATCGCTTCTTCGCTGTCGGTATCGGAACCAATGCAACGTGAGAACTTATATGTCACGTGACCAACCCCTTCGCGTACCATTGTTTCCAGTTCAGATAGTCACATGGCACTCTCACTGTTGAATTGGCTAGAGTAATTTGTCTATATTTTATTTCTTTTAGTATTCTAGGGCTTACTAAATAAAAATCGGGCAACTGGACGTGGTTTCAACTCGAACTGAGGCGAAATAGCATACAATTTTCATTGAGGGCAAGAGGTCGTGAAGTTTGTAACAGAATCGTTGGCCGTTACTGATATATGACTTGAATGCTCACAGTTGATCTAATATACTATGTGTAATCGTTTACCGCTGCTTAGGTAACATCAAGACGAACAATGGACCAAAGATAATTGAATATACTTTGTGGACTCACGGGTTCTGGCATTTTTTGTTGACACTCTTGCAGCAGGCGAGCCTTCAGATTATTCTGGAAAAACCAAGTAAGACAAGAAGTCCGGATTCAACTATGGGCTGACCCCAAGCCTGATTTTGACAGTGCGTGTTAAACACTTCAACGAATGAAGTTACACGTGGCTTTTGAAGGGCATGTCTTAGATCAAGTAGGAGTTATGTAAGCCGCTGTTCTTACCCCGGCCAAACATCGACGATATAGTTGCTGTACCTGCGAACAAAACAACAACAAAAGAATTAGGTTTTATTTTAAAAGATCGTATCTCGAAAGGCAAGAACGACTTTTTGTTTTGTTTTGTTAATAAATGTTTTACTTACGTCCACCGTTTGTACTTCGTTGTTAGCTGGATCGTTCATAAAGTTGTCAGCGCATTTTCGGCATTTTTCAATTTCCTCCTACAAACGTAAAATCGCAGACGCCATTTGAGAAATAGATTGCAAAAGAGAGAAAGTGATAACCAAACAAAGTTTTAGTAACGGGATGCGATAAGCAGAAATCGCTTCATGTAATAGGGCTTCTGCTCTCCGACATATGTCAAGTCTACGACTAGATAAATAGATGACCAGAGCCTTTCGATTTGGGCGGTGTCCTGCGCCATCTAGCGAACGTTTTAAATTTCTAATGGGCTTTTGTCACGCTTAAGTATCACAAACTGGTGACGAAGGAGCACGCACTACCACCGAACGTTGCTAGGATCGCCGTAAAGTTGTGTTTTATTCTATTGGCGCACCATGTTTTTTCTACGCTTGCCTGGTGACACCAGGACACCAGGGCCTCTAAACTCGTCAAACACAAAGTTGGGTCCGAAGTTGACGGAACGCACCGATTGGCCGACGTCCAATCGCCGCTCTCCGGAAACTTTCGGCTCCAACTTCGTGTTTCACGAGTTTAGGGCCCCAGGTAACCTCTACGGCGACGATTGTTCTGAAAGGTTTCTTTATGCACACTGTTATGGCTGTGTAACATTGCGTACCTGCTAAACTATTATGCGCTGGCGTCAGTTTTGTTTTTCTAAGCACTCTGATTGAATAGTGACTTCATCATCTCCTCAATGGATTGCTGGCGGAGAGAAACAACATACACGAAGGTTGAATTTCGTAAGCGAGTTTAGCAAACACAAGTTCTGTCCTGATTATTTTGTAATCTGTTTGAAGGGTGGCTTCATTGGCATCTTTCGGACATCATTTTGATGACATAAGCTATTTGTAACGCGCAGAACACGACCGTATGTGGGATTGTTCTCACAGCGTCGAATGCAAAGAGCAAAGGTAAGTGGGGTGATTTCAGATAAGATCGACCAAAGGGTGGCTGGTTGACATTTTTAAATCAACTGATGTTTTTATATGCTATTGTCTAGTGTCTGGTCTAAACGAACCCAAACTTAGTTTTGACGAAAAAAAAAAAACATTGGGGACAGGAAAAATCGTAAGGCATGATGAGGTGGACAGTTAACGCGCACTGATGGAGGGGCATGTTTGAAAATGAATAACTGAAACGATAAAATTAGGATAATTTTTATGCTTTTTAGAAACAAACTATAGGTACAGTTGGCTTCTAAGATATAGTAATTATATTTATTTATTTTATATTTAGTTTTCTTAAAATTGCCAAACATGCCTCCTCGAACGACAAATGGCAAAATTTGGAGGCCTGTATATCATGGAATGAGTTAATCATTATCATAAACTTTTCAGATAGTATTCTACTTATAAATGGCTATTATTTAAAAATATATAACGTATCTGAGTGATACGATAGACGGGATATATTTTGGCAAACATGGGGAACAAATCAAACAACGAAGAATTCCGATGCGAATAAAAAAAAAAAAAAAGCTCCACCTTCGATTCTTTTTAAAATTTGGATACTTTGTTATAGTCTATTTCGGCATTTATTTCAATTAAAAACATGTTGCATTATTTGATTGAGACTCCCCAAAGTAGGGTCCTTTTTCAAAGCCTACACTTAGCAGTGCCCTATACGAGAAGTGACTCGTGAGTTCCAGTTCCATAAAACTAACACAGATCTTTTACATATTTTATTCACACGAGGCCACTGATGACTGTAGCAATCCTTCACACAATAAAAGTGACTAATGATGCAGTGTGAAGTTTTGCTTTCCTGTATATTTTATATTTAAAACAAAAGAAATAACTTTACTTCCGCACACAAAAATAAAGATAGAATACTAAAATTGTTCAGGTTAGCTATGTATTTCCGGGGGCAAACCATTTCAGGTGAGAGGTGCCACCGCGCCGGACTGTAAGAGCTTCGACGATACTCTCGGTGTAAGAATATATCGTGGCAGTCCGAGATACTTTATCCTGCGCGAGGATAACGTTTCGTGATTCTTATATGGTGATCAGATAAAGATTATAAGCTATCACCAAGTAAAACAGTAGGTTAAATACCCCGCGAAGAAAACTTTGATAAATAAGATGTCCCTGCATTCAAAATGAGCAGTCCTTGGGGCATCAAATTCGACACTTTACACTAAGGCATTCCTCGATGTACCCCATTTAATAAAGTTCTTTCTAACCATATTCGACTGTCCGTCCTACATATACGTCACCGGTTCCTTCTGTTGATGACTTGCAGAGCCGCCACGCATGCCAAAACTGGATGCCAGAAAAAACGCGCACCGTCAGCCACTCTTCTTCTTTTTATTATTATTTGTTTGTCGATGATACCGAACAACATCGTTTTCGTCCAGATACACAAGATGCACCCAGTTTATCGGATAGAATGCAAACAAATGTCCTGAGCGTCTGAATTGCGTTTATTGAACGTTCTTTGAGGTTGTTCAGCGTTGGCCTGGTGCTTCACGAATCCGCCAACTCCATCGCGTGTATTTTCCCATGTCCAGATGCAGAAAATAACCACTGGGCTTTTGGGCAATCATTTTGTGCAAACTGGTGAAGCTGTTAGCGATTCTTAAAATGACTGGCGGCCCCGTCACTTACGTACGTCATGTGCGAGTATACCGCAACGTTTGTCTTCAACCCACTCTTCCACTTTTTTTTAGAGCCAAGCGCGCGTGAGCGGTGGCGTCACACAGGTCCTCACTGATGATAGCGACGCTGTTTGTAGATTTTCTTGTCGTCACTGCAGATGTAAATATCGTAACTTCTTTTTCCCCAGTGGTATACTTGAACTTTGTCAGGAAGCGCGATGGTCAAGTTTTCAGTAAAGTCAAAATTAAAGACAATGCTCCTGCGTTGCATGCACTGCTTTTCATTGTAGATCGCTTTATCTTGCGTTTGTCGGGTTATGGCTGTGAAATATCCAACTTTCGACCGTTGCCTGAACAACTTTTAGAAGAGTTTCAGGATCCAATGTTCTTTTCTCAAGGTCACCGAACTCCCATGTTGTAAGCACAATCTATCATTCTCTGGGACATGGAGTTCCTCCAGTGTAAGAGACTGGCCTTTTTGGCAGTGATCACAGTTTCCCTAAATACACAGACTTGTTAGTGGGTCGCACAAAAATGCTTTGAGTTCATTTCACCAGTGTTCAATGCTGAGGCTGTAACGTTCTCTACAGCGGAAATAGAAAGGTAACAATTGGCGCAGCGGACACATACACACACTTCCTGGTGTGGAATACATTTGACCCATCTAGGGCGCAAGGAATGTTGCAAGTTTCGCCAGCCCAACGGCGGAATCAGGATGATTGTGTTTGTATGCAGGAAAGGCCTCTCGGATTGAGCGTGTCAGGAAGCGCTTTGGCACGAACGTTTTCTCCCCGTCGAGCATGACAGAGACCACGTCCTTCTGGTTGGGACCTTGGCGCGAACATTGTAGCTCGTCTTTCGTGAAGTACCCTAGGGCAGCAGACACGTTCTCAGGGCTCACCTCGCACCTCATCTAAGGATCCGGCTCATACGACACGCCACGTTTTTTGTTACCTAGAGCGTAAACACCGTCGCCATGTTAACCTTTCCTGGGTTAATATGGCGAAAGTGTTTACACTGTGTTGTATTTAGGCAGGGATCGGGTATTTGGGGGTTCTGCTGTACGTCGGTGTGCTTCTTTGTGCCTCATAATATCGCCCGCGAAGCCAGCGAGTGGGATGGTGACAGGCAGGACTGCTCAGTAAACAGGCATCGGCGGCCATATTTTTCTGGTTAAATTGAGCCCCCTCATCCTTGACAGGAAGCGGGGAAATGCGAAAAAAGATTGTATTGGCAGTTTTGCCAGAACTAGCGACGAGTGCCGTCTGCTACTTCCGTCAACTATTGCGCCATAATCGTGACCTTCGCAAGAAGATGATTGTTGCTAGCCACAGAACACTATCACGCAGAAAGGGAATGCTTGAACATGTTTTATTCTAGATATAAGAAAGGGGTATATATAAGAGAGGAAGATGGAGATAGAGGGGAAGAGAGAGGAGCATATCGTGTCGTAAAAAAATAAAATGAACAAAGTTCCCAGTGGTCGATGGCTTTAGGATCTTTTCTCGGATCACTACATCTATATATAGTAGCTCTTTGTACACAGTAATTTCTCTCCACTCTTACTGTACAAACGATGGCCACAGTCATCAATGGTCTCATCTGAATAAAAATATATAAAAGATGTGTGTTAGTTTCACGAAACTAAAACTCAGAGTCATTTCTCGTATAGGGCACTGCTAAGTGCAGGCTTTGAAAAAGGACCCTACTTTGGGGAATTATGTCTTCTTTCTCAATCGAATAATGCAACATCTTTTTAATAGAAATGAATGCCTAATAGTGTACAACAAGGCATCAAAATTAAATAAAAAATGGAAGGTGTTTTTTTTTTTATTCGCATCGGGTTTTTTTGTTGTTTGATCTTTTCCCCCTGTTTGCCTAAATATATACCGACTACCGTATCACTCAGATACCTTATATATATATTTTTTTTAAATAATAGCCATTTATAAGTAGACTACTATCTGAAAAGTATATGATAATGATTAACTTATTTTATGAGATACAGGCCTGCAAATTTTGCCATTTGTCGTTCGAGGAGGCATGTTTGGCAATTCTTAGAAAACAAAATATAAAAGAAATAAATATAATTGCTATATATTACAAGCAAACTGTACCCATAGTTTTTTTCTAAAAAGCATTAGAATTCTCCTAATTTTATCGTTTTAGTTATTCATTTTCAAACATGCCCATTCCATCAGCGCGCGTTACTGCAGCTGTCCACCTCATCATGCGTTACGAGGTTTCCTATCCCCAAATTTTTTTTTCTGGTCGAAACTAAGTTTGGTTTCGTTTATACCATACACTAGACAATATCATATAAAAACATCAGTTGATTTAAAAATGTCGACCAGCCACCCTTTGGTCGATCTTATCTAAAATCACTCAGTGTCATCATGGTAACGTCTAACAACAAAATGTACAATTTTTTGTAATATGAAAGCTTAGGGTGCAAGAGCGCACGAGCGTTCATACGGTTTTGACTCCATCGCTTCAGAGAGCACGCGAAATGGTAATTTTTTGTGTTTACAATAGAGGTTACCTTCTTAGCCGCATATAGCGACTAGTCTAGACGCCGAGTAATCTTAAAGACAATATTTTCTAGTGGACCCAAGGCGACAAGGTCGCGCTCATGGCTCTGTAAAGGCTCTGCTCCCTGTTGTGCGGAATCACACTCTAAAGCAAGCAGCAAGCGCAGGCATGCCTTTGGAGTGAGTCCGGGAGTTTTACAACTAGCTGCTTTACTTTCACGACTGCTTTTGCGCCAGTGAAGTCTTTCGACTTCCTGACTTGAGTTAATAACGTCTTTCCTTATTTTATACCTTCGTGTGATTCGAGTGCCTCTGAACAGGCCATCTTTAGATTAATTCACGCCCTTTCGAGGGCTGCGCTCGATTTGCGAGGTGAATATACATTAAGAGCACGTATAGTGTGTGAGTGCTGCAGCACGCACGATTTACATGATCGATTTGTAGGTCATGAACGGGATGTATCAGTTACATTTGATCTACATTAAAGGCGCGGTCAATGGCATTCAGAGGGAGCGCAAGTGTTGTCATGCTCTTGGGGTCAGCAAACGGGTTGATGAAAGCATCGCCGATATGACGTTATTTCTCAGCGGGTTTCCAAGGTGGTAATCGCATCCCGTGGTATGCGGATAGTGGACTCAGGCCAATTATAGTTTGCTGCTATTGTAACGCAACAAGGTCCTGTGACTGTCCTTACCGAATCCTTGAATCGTCGAGGACAGGCATCCTTGACTCTCTCCCTAGGCGGTTTCTAAAAAGAAACAAAAGAAAAAAACCCAAATCTGTTATGTATGTTCAAAACAAAACTGCTTGTTTCTGTATTGCGCGCGAAGACAAACTTTTTATTCATGCGTATCGGTCTCGTAGTCATTACCGTAATGAAAACCACATTAATGTTTGCCATAAAAATACACCTTTGTCTAAAGATCCTGGGTTCAATCCCCACCCCTGCCCGTTTCGATCTGAATGACCATCGCATACCGGCGTCCGGTCGTGTATCACTACTGCGTGGTGCACGATAAAGACCCCAGGCTAGCGGACCGGCTAAACTTACATACAGCTGAGGCACTAGACGCTCGCTGGAGCTGGCAAACTTCCCGCTGTCTAAAGATACGCACAACACAATTACGTTTAGTCACGCGATATACATTGTCGCATGGGCTCACCCGTGGCATGCAGATGCTTCTTACTTGTGCTTCCTGTAAAAAAAAAAAAGGAGGAAAACTTAAACATCTCGATGAACACATTAGACCTGATGCGATATTCTATTATCTGGATCACTCTTTTTTTTTTTTTTAGGCACTTACGCCGTGTTGTATTTCTATTATTTCCACAGCTCAATAAAAGAAATACACTGGAATTTGGCGGATTGTTTGGCGTTCTTCATTTAATTTTGTTCTTGGCGTTTTAGTTAGAAATAGACACGTTGTAAAACAACGTAGACGCCGTCATGATATATAAAATCAGTAACGCTCAAGCGACCAAACAAAGGAACGCGATCGAGCTTATCGTTACCTATTTTTTTTTTATTGCTGCTTTTACTATTGGCGAATTTTGTGAAATCGACGGCAACTAAGCGGTTAAAACAGAAAAGTGTCACGACAAGTTCGCTCAGATTTTCACAGCGCCTGTCGCAATCGAAAGACGAAGCCGTGAAATTAGGTCCAAAAACACGTGATGAAAATCGCCAATAGTCACTGACAGACTAAAGCGGCAGGCGGGTTCTTTCAGCTGTCCAGCCTCCAGCAAGAGCTTTCTGACTTCGATGATGCTTCGGCGTCCCGCGAGCCTCGATCGTGCAGGCGCAGGAAAAGCGCGAGTGAAGGCAGCGATTGAGTGCGTGCTGGAGTCTGGGCGTTCAAAAGAGAGACGCCCCCCCCCCCCCCCCCCCCCCCCCCCCGTTCTCATCTTGTCACTGACCGTAGTTACCCTTAAGACTGATTTATATTGTGCAATTTTGCTTGCGATTTCGCAGTTACGGCGTGACTCGTGCGGCAAAAAAAAAAAAAAATACCTGGGGGAAACGGCGGGCCCTTACGTCGCAGCTTTGAATTCGCAAGCAAAATCGATCGTGCGAATCGGGCTTTACACGGCATTGTTTACTTTTTTACGCTATTTGTTCAAGTATGCGCGAGCAGCATTTACGCAAGAAATGTTCTCGGTATTTGCTATTAGCGAAAGAACTTTCAATTCAGTGAACAAAATTGACGAGACAGAAATTACAGAAAGATACATTAGTGGATTCTTATAGAGGTTGCGTCAGCATGACACTTGGAAACACCACACACGTCCGCCATTCGGAAACGCTAACGCTGACCCCTTCACTTTTCCCTTTCGGCTTTCTTTTTTGCATGCTCTATTTTTTTTAGTAACATCTTTTTGGCCTGATTACGGGGTAGCGTTTCTTAAAGGCGGGCGTGTGTGGCGTTTCCCAATTGTTATGCTAACGGATTTTCTAAGAACTCACCAATGGATCTTCATGCATCTTTTTCGCCCCCTTTTCTGTACTTTGCCTGTCAGGGTACGTCGACGCCCTTGGACATGGCCATTCATATTGCTCGTGGAAAGAACCATACCCATAACACTTGTGGAAGGAATCTTATCTATATCACTCGTGGAGGAAACCGCGTCAATCGTTTTAACTACATACACACACATCATAGCTCACGCACCTCTACTACGGAAACCCAGAGCGAAGAACAACCGGCGACGGCAGAGCGGCAACTGAGCACGCCCGGATTCCACCACGCTACCGCGCAATACGTCCTGATAACAAAGCCGTAGTGCTGAATGAGATGGCGTCATCAGAGAAGGCCAACGCTGCTCATAGATTGGACACGACGATTGCGTCAATGTTCGGCTCAAACTTGACTCGAAGCCGAGCGCTGACGCAGCACCCATTTCCGATCTGTGTCCCGCGTTTCCCTTCTCCGATAACGCCATCTCATTCAGCGCTGCTGCTATGTTATCTAGGAGGTGTTGCGCGCCGTCTCCTCCTCTCTGGCTCCGCGCCAGTTGTGCCTATGCGACGTTCTTTCGACGAAAACGAAAGGGCTCGTTTTGGCGAAACTCCGGCGGTGTCTGTCAGTTTGTCAGCGCCAGGGAGAGAGGGAGAGGTTGACGCGTGCTGACGTCAGCGCTTTGTACCAATGGGAGCGAGGCACGTGTCATCCTCTCCCCTCTTTCTCCCTCTCTTTCCGGCACTGACAAACAAAAGACACCGCCGGGTTTTCGTCAAAACGAGCGTTTTAATACTCACGCATTAATAACGCATAAAAAAACGACTCACATCATCATAAGATGCGTTCTCGTCGAGGCGGGACTTCTCGACACAAGCTTCGCACGCCGACTTCTCGATCTATAGGACCAAGATTGCAGTTCAGGCTTGCACCCGTGAACTTACGAAAATTATTTTAGAGGCTTACATTTTGGTTTCTGAAATACCAGTCACACGTCTTGCGGAGAAGTTCTTTTCGTGAAGGCTGTACGAAACGAAGGGTTCAATTAGGCACAGTTTTATGTATTTGTATATGTCATACCTAAATTGCCCGGAGGGCATTACAGCATCGTTCTGCATCTATTTATCTTAGCCTATCCTCAAATTCTACCCTACTGCTAGCTTCCCTGCACTCGAATGAGTGCCATCCCATATCACCCTGTACCCCCTGGTTCGGTGTTTTACCACGAGCTCACAGAGCCAACCAACCTACTCCTCGCTGCTTTATTTCTAGCCTTGTCTGAACGTCCACTTTTATGCACAATACTGCATTTGGAAAAGTCAGGCTCAGAACCATAATTCCTCCTAGGATCTCCCACACCACCTAAAACCTGTTATAGTTCCACAGTGCTCTATTTTTCATTACAGCTGAATTTCTGTTTCCCTTGCCAGTTACATATTTTGCATGTTCATTGTGGTATATTTACTTTTATTTATCGACTCGCACAACTTATAGTCCTTATGACTTTAGCTCTGCAATTCCGTCATCATTGAACACCAGACCGGTGATTTGTCACTCCTGAATTCTAAGCCTAACTTTGGCCCTCTTCGCCACATGTATTGATTAGGGACTGCAGCCCTATGTTGATATCGTCCATTAGCACAATATCATCAGTATGTACAAGACCTGGTAATGACTTTTTGATCGCTTGACCTTGCCTGTCGCATGAAAAATCAACCCCCCCCCCCCAAAAAAAAAAAAAAAGAAGAAAGGTTTTTTTCAACTTTTCCACTAGTTCTTGGAGATACAACATGAACAACAATGGCGAGAAAGGGCTTCTCTGTCTAAGACCTCTTTTTATCTCAATTGGCTTTGCTCTTTTTCCTTCCCATGTTAGTCTTTGTAAATATCCCCGAAAAATTGCAATATTCCGTCGTCCACACCTCCTAGCGGAAAAGGTGTGAAGGTGAGGAGCGGGGAGCTACCATCTGCCTAAGTTGCCAGCGAATACTGGCGAGACCTAGCGGCTGATTTGTGAAGCAGATGAAAGGGGATTAAATGTGTCGGGTTGGGGAGGCAAATAATGATGTGCTCGGGATTAGAATAACAAAGAGAGAGAAAGAGAGAAGGGGGGGGGGGGGAAGGGGGGAGAAGAGTGAATTTGGAGATAATGGACGCCTCGAGCACAGCACCACCACTTACTCCATTCATAATATGTTTCAATAATATGCGTAGGCGAAGTTGGAATTAGAGTTGCTACGGTGATACGTAATAGTCAAAAAGCCTGTCAAAATGCTTAATCCATCTCCTTTTTTTTTTAGGTTTTCAAGTTGTAAAGGTTATGATGAAGCCTTACCCTTGGTAGACACTTGTTCCGCAGGTTGGAAACCTTAAAAGTGTGAGAAATATAAAAAGAATGTTGATGAGAAGGTAATGTTATTTATTTGAGAAAGACAAAGTTTGGAAAAATATTTTTTTTTTTTTTGGTTTTCATATATGCTGATACACATGTTCTTTATGGACTTGAAGACAGTATTCTGAAGGTTTATCTATAGAGCCTGGCGTGATGGCAACCAAACATACCCAAAATCTACCTGCGGGACACTAAAAACATAGATAGAACTCACTGAGTGGTTAGAAAATGAAACATATATAAAATAATTTAATATAGTCTTCCGCAACTCTTAACATTTTACAGTGTTCACTTCAAGTTAACTGCAAACCAGAAAGAGAAGTGAAATTTTCTCTCCAATCATTTTGTGTAAAATTATCAATACGAGAACCTCCCCAACTAAACGCAACGGGTAGGGCTTACCTTTACACGAAAGAAAATGATAACTAGGAACATGAACATATACTCACGTCCTCGTATTCGAAGTTGGCTGGAAGCGGGTACTCGTCAACGCATTGCTGGCACTGAGCGGCCTGTTCCTGATCAAAATGAACACGTGCAAATAAAATTAAAAATGCCTTAAAGGTGTTCTGAATGCCATGACTAACGATAACGCGATGCCTTCTAATAGGGTTTTGTTATTTTTAAGGGCTTTAAGTAAGCTTTCGTTTATCCTTGAATCCAGTCTTTGGGGCTCATTCCTCCTCAGTTTATTTCATACATTTTTTTTAAGTAGCATGAATTTGTTGGTGATTAAGCAATAAAATAAGCACAGAATTAATAGTAAGAAATGTATTCAAAGCAAAAATAAATCCATTAAACTAAAATTACTTGTAATATATTGAGTTCGTATGATAGTAATTATTAATGGGCACTGATTGGTAAAACATAGTTTGCCCATACAAAATAAAACAAAACGTTGGACGTGACTTACGTCGTCGATGTACCTCCACTTGCAGAGACGCTTTAGCCTTTCCTTGGGGCTTGACTGGAGACAGGAACATGCAATTATCTTTGCTGCTTAAACAGTCCATATTTTACTAGGGCAAAGAAATAAAGATTCCGATACAGACACTCACCCTTGGCATGCACGTAGATTCCACTCTTCTGTACTGAAAGAACAAAATAAAAGCAAAAAAACAATGACTAGATACTGTGGAACACCAAAAGGACAGCAACCGACTTGACGATAAACTGACGGCTAAACTAATTAAACAACCCTTCTCACGTAAACAACCCATACTCATACTATTTATTTACGAGAACATATCTAAAAATGAAGGCACACATTAGGTTTTACTGAGTAGCTAAGCATTTATACATACCTATGCATTGTCTTAAACTTTTTCATTTCAGTAAGAATAACTGAATATATAATTGGGCGAGTTGACGCGTACTTATATTGAAACAGCGCGAAGCGAGGAACTGGACGACTCGAAAATTGTTTTATTATTAATCAATAAGAATAACCTAAATATGATACGTAGAACACAGTAAATTAAGCAATTTGTGAGACTCTGGGACACACGGTGATACGAATTGCAAAAATATCGCCTTGATAAACCATAAATGCATCGTATACAGCTGAACGCGCAAGAAAATAAAGCGAATACTAAAAACGTGCGTTTGCAGTGCTACAAACTGTACACACCGACTGGCCAACTTACCTCGGCAAATGTCGCGCTGTCGTCAATACCCGTGTTGTTGACACATTTGTAGCACTCCGTTTGGTTCTCGGGCTGTGAAGCATTTAGCCATAACGAGAAAGGAAAAGTTGAGTAAAGTAAACAAAACTTGGTACAAAAGTGCTGTCTGATGTTGTTCGTTTTTCTTAATTGAAGTTACAGCAGCGTATAGTTTAGCATCGTCAGCACGTAACGCAAACCTGTAGAAAAGTTTAAAAAAATTCAAATTTAAGGAACTAAATGCATTGTGTTTGTTCACACAATGTTGCGTTTAAGTTGTTTTTTACCACTACCTAATCCATCTGATGTGCATCATTACCAAGGCTTCGGCTGTCAATGAGCACATAAAACAAACAAATAAATGAATGAGATTAATAGTTTGTTTTATTGCACAAGGCGCCAAAACAATTCTTTTTTAGCCAGTGGGAAAACTCTCTTAGAAGTAAAAAATGCAGCAGTGAGTTTTTATACACATCAAATTCGGTTCTAAAGCTTCTGTTGGTTTATTTTTAAATAAAATATTTGTAACTAGCAGAGCGAAAGTTCGTCTGCTTCTTTTGCAAGGGTTGTGGTGACGTCTGAACGCTGAGCTCTGGTTGGCTCTGATTGGAGGATAGTGGGCAGACCTCAAGGCTGATTGCTTTGAGGTCTACTCACGATCCAAAGATCAGAGCCAATCACAGCTCGGCGTTCTGACGTCACCACAACCCCTGCAAAGGAAGCAGACGAACTTGCCCACCGCATAGTCTGTTGCAGGTTAAGAAAAGCAGGACAAGCATCTCCCACAGAGTAGTCCACTTTTTGCACTTTAGCAGAACAAATGCTGTAGAGGGTTCAATTGGAGAGGAGGAAGCCTTCGATCGTTGCGAGCATAAACTTTTGTACGTGGGGTTTGTCATGCTTTTCTTAACCTACAACAGGCTATAGAGACTCCAAATACGATTATCGAAATAACTCAGTTGCTTGCGTCGGCACCCGTCATTGGAGTTATCAAAATATGTTGTTTTATTTTTCACGGGAACAAAGTTGCGACTTGAATTTTCGCTAGTTAAGATAAACTATCAAACTACACCTTGGAAAAATATTTGAGCTCGTTATCGGCACGCTTATGTTTCTAGTTTATTTTATAAAACGCCTCCGGATCAAGAACACCTTGTATTTTTTCCCATTTGCTTCCTCAGTTCATTTTCGGCTATAAAAGTCAAAATTGCATGTTTAGTAGTAACGTGCGGAAATACCTACTCGTGTAATTGATTTTACTACCGAACGTGGAACAACTCAAGTATGCTTTAAGGTTGACACAAAGAAGTTTCCAGGGTTAATTAATAAGCACTAATGAATGCGGCGGTTGTGGCGCAAATAACAAGGATTTGTCGAATAAAAATATTTTTAGTCACCGATATGTTTATTTTTTTCTGAAAAAAAAAACATTGCCGTTTTTGGGGCAAATGAAAAATAAAAAAAAAACGAGAAAGAAACTTACATTTTTGTTGAACCGATATCGGCATTCCATGTGCAATAGGTCCGTCGGCGACGGCTGGAACGAACATACCTGATTGAGGCGTGGACGGTCTGTACAGCCGTTTGTACCTGTACACTGCGCGGCACTTTTAGCCCAAACAAGACATCAGTTGGGTTTCTGCATTTTGTTCGGACGAAATATTGGCGAGCACCAAGCTCAAGTGCTTACCATACTAAGGCAGGACAAGCTTTTGCTGCAACGCCCTCCATACTTTGCACTTTAGCAAAGCTAACGCAGGAGAGGACGATGCCGAAACATATGTTTAGACCAAAAAACGCAGTCAGAGTTGTGACATTAAGCAATGCTGGTGTGACGTTTTGCATTGCCTAATGACACAGCTCAGCCTGCGTTTTTTGGTCTAAACATATGTTTCGGCAGTGTCATTCGCTGAGCTGCCACCGTAAGTTTCGATGATTGGCCCTCCGAGTGTTGTGCGTGAAAGTAGACGCGCAGGCTTTTTTTTTAGTGTACATAACTGATAGATAGAAGATTCTGCCCACTACCAAAAACTTTCCAGTCAAGTTTTCGACTTCAGAAACCCCTTTATAGTGCTCATTGATCGAGAGTAAGGAGAACTCACGTGGGGCATGCATTTCCAGTCGATCTCTCGTTGCTGAAATAAAAGATACATCTCATCATTTTTTTATTCTGTTTCTTTTATAACCATCAACAGCATAAACGAAGGGACCGTCCTAATCATCTCATGGATCGGCAGCCAATCAGGTTGTGGCATTAGCCGATCAGAACGCCATACAACCAATCGCGAAGCAGCGATCGTGAATTAACATATAAGCCCCTTTTAATTTCACGAGATGAGCCCGGCGCGATCACTGAATTCTGCGATGAATGTCCTGTAACAAAACGTTCATCGTTTCAGGAATTTTTTTTTTCTTCTAAAATGTTTACGATGGAAATGTTACATTTCCATCGTAAACTCGGCGCTTTTATCAAAATCTATTCTTTCGTTTAATTCCCGAATTCTCGGATAGCCAGCGTTTACTTTTTTACCCCGGTCTTTCATTTCGGTATATTTTTACTCCTCCAAAATTCGGGATAAATAAAACTATTGTCCGAACTCCAAAGAAAGAAAAAAAGACTCGGAACGTACTATTAATTGTATGTTATTACTACGAAAACTGCTGTCGTAACAAAACAAAAATATATTACCTTCTCCTTTCAGCGAAAAACAAACAAAGGATTAAACCACATTGTGCCTAAAACCGAAACGATATTAGTTCTTTAATATCATATTTTTGAGGATAACTTGGCCAATTCAGGAAACGTTTGCTACAAGTGTTTTTCACGGACATGTTTCGGTTTTATCTTAAAATCCGGAACGGTACTCATAAGCTATTCCCGTAACTATAAAGTTGATCGCCAACAGTATTCCGTCATGACCGACCGATAGAATTCTATCAAGCAGACCTTTACCAATTTGTAGTGGAGTTTTCGATCGCACGATTGCTTGTTTTGTTTCCCGCTTTTAGGAAATCGCTGTTTGTGACGACAGCGTTTTTTTTGTTTGTATTTGTTTTATTTCAGAAAGAAGGAGCGTGTATTAAACGACAATTTTAACGCTCAGTTAATAAATATTAAGACCGAATTACGCTTCATCACAAAAAAAAAGGTTGACAAAAAAGCTAGGTTAAGCAAAAAGTTACATTTATATGCGCAGTATCGATAGGTTAAATTTATTTTACTTTATTGTGTACGAAAGTTACACAATGGCGCGAAAGTAAAGTTGGGCATTTAGCATGTCTGAACGTTACAACTGTCTTTTATAGCCACTAACACGACGAGAACGGAAGGGAGGTTTTGAGTTGTGCCGCACCCGCAGCGCGGGCTTCCTATACTTTTGTTGACATCCGGCATCACCTATAGACTCCTTGCACATGACGTCATTTCCGATACCCTCCAGAGAAGAGGGGGAGAAGGAGCTCCCCTCTTACCAGGACCCTCCTTTGTGCCTTCCGGATTTGCACAGGCGTCGCTATTCTCCTCCCAGAAGATTATAGAAGATTAACCTGTCACTCAAAATTCTTACAAAAGCAGCTTCCCTCTCCTCCTTTTACTTGGTGTGCAAATGTGTGCGATGTGACGTCAATGCAAGGAGCCTATGGGGAGAGCAAGTCTGCTACTTTCGCAGGAGTGGTGATGACGTCAGAACGACGCCGAGCTCTTATTGGCTGATCGAAAAAGATAGTGGGTAGACCTCAATGCTAGATGCCTTAAGGTCTACCCACTATATTTTTTTTTTCAATCGGCCAATAAGAGTTCGGCGTCGTTTTGCGACGCCGAACAGGCGACGTAACACTTTAAGCTTGGAAACAACGCGGACGCCGGACAACCGAAAGAGATGCCTGACCGTTCTTATTTTTCTTCTAATTTTCAGTGACTCTTGATATAAATTTGCTTAAAAAGAAACATTTTGTCCGTTGTAATCGGTGTTGATACCGGGTCTAACTTAAGGGACACTGCTGGCGGCCGCGACCGTACCTCAAATTTGGTGGCGTTTTCTGGCAGTTGGAAGTTTTCGACGCAGCGTACGCACTCCTCCCGTAGATCTTGTTGCTGTACGTTTAAATAAAAAAAAAACAAAAAAAAAAACTATTAGTTCCATGAACAATGTTGTTCGTGGAGATATGAATAAAGCCCGAGAAAAATTCCAACAAACAATGCTTACCCCAGGTACACCGTGGAATGCGTTGCACAGCACGAGAGCAGCTTCTTTGGCGGTATACTGCGTTAAAAAAACACACACACACTCACACGTCTTTTTTTTTTTTCCTGAACTGATCATAAGTTGACGCGAAACTTTCTCGAGTCGAACTCACCGGTTTAACGCATGACTGTCTCATCTGGATCACCTATAAATAATAAGCAAAATGTTTTTTTTTTTTTGTTCCAGCAATTTATGTACACTGTTCGAGCAGGCGCATATTATAGTTGAAAACGTAAAGTGGCCTCAGCGAGATAAAGGAACAAGAGCTTTCAATAGATCCCGTTAAGCATTTTTAAATAAATCCGATAAAATCCGAAAAAAAAACACTCACCAACGAAAATGTTCAAGTTAATACGAACCTCAGAATTTAAGGTAGAACCCCGACTGCTCTTTATCTTTTCCTATAACCCTAAAACGTCTCTCGCAATTATATCCCCCCCCCCCCCCAACCTTTTTTTTTTTATGAATCTCACAAAACAATGTATTTTTATACTAATCCAAGGGGTTCAAAAGACATTCGTTGAGCAGGTCTGGCCTTTCCAGCCGCTGAACTTAGGGCCTTCCTCCTTCCAAGAGGTTCACTGGCCATTTTCTTTCTGGCCCCCTTTTGTTAAAAATATAACTTACGGGCACGTACCGTCGCCCCATCCGCGTTTAGGACAGGAATTCGAGATTCAAACATGACTTCCTTACCACCCACGTGCGATGTGTAGAAAGCGAAAGCTTTCTTCTGGGTTGAACCAAGGTATACTACGTTCAACTATACTCTGTTTCACCTTTAAGTTCGACGAGAGTCAACGTTACAAACCAAGGTTGCCAATCAATCAGCACCAAAAGTGCATTGTCACCACGCTCATCGCCTTTGTGCGTTTTCCGTCAACGACAAAACCAATCACGCACATTAAATGCGCAGCGATCCTGCGTTTTTTTTATACGTGATTTTTTTTTTTATGCATGATTCTGTATTCGTGAACCCACATAAAGCAACGATCACCCTGATGACGCACTTTTTGTGCTACCTCGTACTGGCTTCAGTGCCCGCAATATTTTTTTTCCTAGCGAATAGGGCACCCTTCTGAATTGTTGAAATACCTGAATTCTAACTGGCACATCCATCGGAAGAGACTGGCTCATCTCGAGAGAGAGGCAAGCGTGTTCAATGAATTGAATACGCCTATGGTTTCGACAAATTCATCTATATTGTGGATGGCTCAGGTTTTGCTTCACTGTCTTTGAACTATGTGCTATAAAGAAAACTCAAAATTTTGTCGAAAATGAACGACAGCATCGAGCAACTCAAAAATGGAGGTGGAATTAAAAATATAACTTGGAAAAAAAAAAATCGTTCCGATTTGGATCAAAAACTCGGAAAACGCAGAACCCGAAATGCAGGTCACCAAATGGTGAGCATTAAGCTATAAACTATATGTGACTCTTAGCATCATGCGCTATTTTCTCGTTGAGTCTCTTTGGACTCAAGCTCATTAAGCGATAGAGTAATATTAATACAAATACTGCCTGTGTTCAGACCTGCCTTTCTTTTTGCACAATCCGATCACAATTTTCATGTTTATATTTGATAACACTTCGCAGGAGATTTTAAAATCAACAAAGACGCTGTGCGGTGTCGAATTGTACAACTTCTATGTTAAAGGGATTATCCGGTCAAATTTTGTTTTCGAGAAACAATTGAATATTACTGCTATTGCCTCGACAAGCATCGTACGTGCAATATCTGAATTTAATATGCCCCTCTGCACGAGTAATTGAATTTATACTGCTCCAATCGCACTCTAGCGTAAACGCTGTTTTCAGTGGCAACATGGGAGCTCTGACGTCACACAACACAGAGCGAGCATTTCTGTCTCGTCGTTCACCTGCGAGTGGACGCCTCAGCGTGCTTCGTTTTTGTTGTTGTGCTCGACTTGTTTCGTGGTTAGGTGAGATTTTTGTCGCACGGTTGGGTGCCACAACCACCGGGCAGCACATGCGAGCCAAGACATGACGTTCCATGCTTTTCCGCGAGACGTGCAGGGACGAGCAAAATGGATCGTCGCCGTGCGTAGGGACTGGGTTCCCGTCAAGATCGAGATCCCGCTTATGCAGCAATCATCTCACAGAAGAGAGCTACGAGCTGAGCTCTAAGCGGACAGAAGGCTCGTAAGCTGAGGTGTGATGCTGTGCCAACGGTATTAAACTACGTCCATCCACTCCCCGCCCAAATCGGATCAATCAATTTCTTTATGCAGCGAAACCGAAACCAATAGCTACACCACCTGGAAACGATAGCAGAAGTTGTATTTAGCACGCGTGCAGCCAAATTCTGTTTGACCCGCATGTGCAAATAGAGCGTGGCTACGATTCACCAAGCTCGTCCAAGTCAAGTGACGACATGCATTTGAACGATTCACCGGTTGTCGCCTCTGAGGGAAAGACCCGCAGCCTCATCACCCATCCAGTGGATCCGCCGATATGTGTACCCAGATACCGCTTCGTGTACCTTGTTGCCGCTTCAGGGGCGAAATCTGCATCCTTTGCTTTGCAAGCGCTGGTAATTCGATCGGTGGCCGTCGCAGTTGTGTTTGTGCGAAACGGCGTACGTTTGCTCGAAGCTTATATGGCTGTTTTCGAGTAATATCCTACTAAAAGGCGTCACTTTTTTTGCACGGGCTTGGGAACTGCAATAAAAGAACCGTATTTCAGTAAGGTACAGCCTAAGACAGAGGTTCTCAACCATCGATATATCGCGGACCCCTTGTGAATCGGCGGAGATGATGGAGGACCCCGTTCGTGGTGAGAGGAGAGGAAAAGTATAGGTTAAATATAATAATGATTTAATAAATGGATATAACTAAGGGCTAGTGTGAAGTAGACCTCTCTTATTGACGTTCACACGAAGAAACTTGCCCGAAATCTAAAACATTTCTTTTCAACCTGAAAAAAAAAAAAAGAATTGTTGCTGGGCTCGACTAATGAGGCCATAGAGATCATCATACCACTAGAAGGCCTTCGCGAACCCCCATTTGAGAACCACTGGCCTAGGAGGCTATATAATTCGAAACAAAATACAAAACATCCATCGACCAACGCTTGTTATCCCGACCATCAGATAAACCTTTGCGTTTTGTGACGTCACGCAGCAGCTAAGGATGTCAGCCATTGACACTGGCGAAATTCGGGGTGCAGTTTCGTACATACGCTCATGAAAGGTTTAGTTAATAACGGGAGATCATATATCAAAATAAAAATGTTGTTTGTCTACATGAAGGCTCCCTCGATGTAACGAGCACAAAAGCTTAAGTACTTCCGGTTTCGACCGGACAAACCCTTTAAGTAAATCTGCCGTCAATACTGCTGGTAAAAAGCGCGACACTGTTAGAGTGAACAAGTGATTGCTGTTTATTTTTCTTCAGTTTTTAATTTTAAAAGAGAGTAAAAAATTTTACTTGTAAAGTGAGGTGTGACATGTCGGGCACTAACTGAAGTTGTAAATTTTGATGCCCTCCAAATACCCTTTCGAGGTCAAATGCAGGGAAACGCGTATGTCGTGTTTGCACTAACAGAGTAGTTTACGTAATTTGCTAAGCATATTGCACACTGCGCGACACTGTCAACGCGAGCACGACTTCGGCACTCAAGTTTCGAATTCTACTTCGAAGGGGTGCTGGCGGGCATCCAAATTAACTAATTAGGTTAGTACCAAAACTAAGCACTTTCCACCACTATAGCATAGTTTCGATGACGGTCCTTCAAACCTGAGAGAAACTCGGAGAATATCAGTGATAGCTTCTCTGTGCCAACAGCGTCGTGGAGTGTGCATTAGTCTACAGAAGCAACACTGAATCAAGACAAACAAAACCTTACTGCTTTCTTTGAGTCTACTGTTGAGACCGCTTATAATGAAGTCGCTTATAACGCAATAGCGGCTATAGCGAAGTAATCACGATTTCCCATTCCCTTTGCACTTCGTTATAACCGAAGTCGGTTATAACGAAATTACGGCTACATCGAAGCAATCATGAGTTCCTATTCCCTTTGCACTTCGTTATAACCGAAGTCGGTTATAACGAAATAGCGGCTACAGCGAAGTGATCACGATTTCCCATTCCCTTTTGTACTTCGTTATAACCAAAGTCGGTTATAACGAAATAGCGGCTACAGCGAAGCGATCACGATTTCCCATTCCATTTGCACCTCGTTATAACCGAAGTCGGTTATATAAGGAAATAGCGGCTACAGCGAAGCGATCACGATTTCTCATTCCCTTTTGCACTTCGTCATAACCGAACTCGGTTATAACGAAATAGTGAATATAGCGAAGTGATTACCGATTCCCGTTGACTTCGTTATAACCGGTTTCGACAGTATCACATTGTAGTGTTCTTGGAAATAGGCACAACGTGCTGCGTGCGAAAACGCGGCGCCCCATCAGTCAATTCAGTTACCTATCGTGTTTTACAACCGCTTTTAAAATCAAGAGTATTTACTTCGACTTCCCACGCAAAACAGGAGCCGAGGTTCGACTCGTCACGAGCCTCTTGTTCGCGCAATCTGTTGACAAATGGCACTCACGTTACTTCGCCGTGGCGGAAAGGGGAGGTCGAACTCTTTCACACATTTCTTGCACGTAAGCAGCTCGTCTGTCTGGAAAGAGGGAAAGAGAAAAAAAAATAAAACACACGCACAAAACTCTTGATCAATTTGATGGAAGGCTTCAAATAGATCAAGTAGACGCTCTAAAAATATAATAGTGCGTCTACTTTCCCGTCAAACTTTCGGGAGAGTCATTCACAGCAGTCTACGAAAGGCATTTGGTGAATGAGGATTTTGAATATATGTTTAGACCTAAGAAGACAGTCTGCGCTCTGACACTAATAATGAGGATTAAATTATTCGATCTCATACAACCTAGAGCCTAGAGAGGGTGTTGAGGTCAAACTACAACGTGAAACTTGGATCCACAATAAATCAAAAGTTTTACAAACTTAAAAACAAAATTACTACTTTTATAAATTCAACAAATCAGGTTATTTGATTTAAATCACTGTAGCTAGAAGGAAGTAATTCTTTACCACGAGATGCATTTTTCAGCATGGGAGATTGATTGATCAGTTCGTCCGATCACCGATAACAATACGGAAGAAAAAATTTAGTTTTTAGTGATGTAACTCCCACCACACTAGAATAAGAACAGCTCGTTTTTTTAGTAAATTAAAAAAGAAATATTTATTTTATTTATTTATTTAGTTCTGACTTGATTGCAATAGGATATTACGTTACTTCTCGTTTCTTTCTCTTGCGTTCGGATTTTGTGGCGATGGGACGGTACGTAGCTGGTGCATGTTCGATTTGCTAAAAAAAAAGCACTTCTTTTTTGGTCGTGTCTGAAAGTAAGGAAGTGATAGACAAACGGTAAATATAAAAATATTTCCGGGAATATTTTTACGCAAAAGGGGGATTTTGGTCATAGTAAAAGTGGTCTGTCCTAAAACAGTATTTAAATTATGATTTACATAACGATCTAAATAATGTTGATTGTTATTCTTCACACCGGCAGGGACTCGTTCGTGTCCGAACTTCGTACAGTTTCTGGTTGTTTAACAGGCAAGCATAATTTTAGACATTGATTTTCGTCCTAATGTCGTATCGCGGGACTCTTATTTTTAATTACATGTTTTGGCTTCTATTCGTTTTTTTCATTGAACTCGGACTATTCGTCAACGCCACTGTTATCAGAACTACGCACAATACTTGACCCATTGATAGTCGACAAGTTGATTGCGTAATTTGTATGTTGTTTTAGGTGTAGTTATTAATCTTACACCTTATCAATGTCGAGATGTAGCATGAGAAATCATATCCCTGTTGTCAGATCATGCACTCTGCGGCACAATATGAAGGTTGCTTTCATCCTGAAATATTAAAACAAAAATAATAATAAATCTTTCACCACTGCATTGGCGTTTGTGCACAATCACATATTTATATACTACATCGTAAAAGGGACCCCGACACACACACACACACACACACACACATACACACAAACGCGTGCACGCGACATTAATGATAATTGATGGCCGTGATTTAATCCAGTTCAAAATGAACGTGCATCTCGATTATGGCTTCCCCAAGTCTTGCTCTTGCCGGAACTTTTTTGCTAATTACAGTTGCTGCGCCGTAACTAGTTTTAAAGGTGCCCCGAGGAGGTTTTTGATTTCGTCTACATACGACCATAACTCACTCTGTGGGTTTTAAGCATCCTAAAAATTTATAAATCATAACGATGCGGGACAGATTTCCCTATTAAAGAAACAATCAAAGATCGAACACACCGAGGTCATCTCAGGCGATGAGAGAAACATTGTTCCGGCAGCCAGGACGACATGTGACCAATGAAAACACGACATTTCGTTGAAATTGTAAACGCGGTTATTACAAAATGTGTAGCTTCTGTAGATAATAAAAGCAAATAAGAGTAGTCGAAATATTTGAATTTTTCGCGGAGAGGGAACATATTACTGCAATAATCGTCTCACAAAAAAAAAAAAAAAACCCTGTCTTTTGTTTTGTTTTTCGCGAGAGTGATGTGTTTAGTCGTCAACTCTCAAGAGCGCGCTTGCTGGGCTGAATCGTAGTCCTGGCTGTATGGGCATCTGTGTATGGGCAACGAGCCGCGCGCATTCGAGATATCACTCCGCGGTTCCCCCGGTTGGAGGCGCGAGAATCCTTCGCTCGCTATTGGCTGAAAGTGGTCCTGGTTTCGGAACATGCTCCTCACATTGCCGGAGGTGACCTCGGTGCGTCCGATCTTTGATTGCATTTTTAATAGGGAACTTGGCCGCGCAGCGTCATGATTTGTGAATCTCTAGGATGCTTAGAGCCAGCAGAGTGACTAATCGCCACATTCAGGCGATCTTAGAAACTTTCTCGGGGCACCTTTAATAGGATGCCTGAAGCCGGCACAAATTGCACTATACTGTGCAACACAAATTAGTAGTGATTACATTGCCGCACGCTTGTACGACGCTTATCCCAGATCAAAACTGGCAGGGGCGGAGATTGAACACAAAACTTACAGTTGGGTTGCTTAGTGATATGGGTCTTATTATTCCCATTACTAAGCCTCAATTGGCCTCTTAATGCGTGTTTCACTTTATTGAGCACGCATTATTGAATGGTAGAAGTCGAGTTACTGGCAACTTCGTCACTAGTGACGGCTTCAAACCGGAAGACATCAACGCTCAATGCCATATAGCGCTCTAACAATATTCCTTTGGAAAACATCCAAACAAACCGATGTCGGCCACAATCGTTACTCATTCGTTACAGCTTGGCAAAAGCGCTTCGTTGAAAGGAGATCAGAGGCAGGACGGGCTGGCCTTCCATCGAACTATTTACCCGGCCACCCGCGCCGACTGAATGTGAAAGCACAAAAAGAAAGAAGAAAACCTGCTGCGACCGCTTTGCTTGCGCGGAAGAACTATTCCTCCCAAGAACAAACAAGCGCAGTCCTGTTTCCTTCCGCACGCAACACTTCCAAACAACCCGAATCGTTTCCGACCACATTTCCCAGTCAGCATTTTTGCCCGCCGCAAGCAGACAACCATACGATGTCCCGTCATCTGCTGTTTCGTTATAGATGTCTTAAGCGACCCGGATAAAGGACGCATCCGCCGTCGCATCATACCGACCGCAGCGCCACCGCAGCACAGTTTCGTGTGTTTTCTTTAACGCAGGCGGCTTCCTCCTATAAATAACCGATGGATACACAATAGATCGTGAGGACTGCCGTGTCCGCGGATGCATATTCACGGCGTCTTGTCGGACACCTCCGGTCAGCGCTTGGCCGGTCACGTCGCTTCGTTGAATGCGGACTATATTTAGTTTTAATGCGTTCCGACTGCGACAGTTGAGGCTGCCTCGTCCGCTTCCTTTTCTTCATATCTTATTTTGCGGCAAGAAGAACGCGGAGCTCATTGTGATGCAAGTTTAACCGTAACGGACTTTTTGAAGTTTAGACGTCTGGCGACATCATTAACGTTTTGTTATGTTTCTACTTCGTTTTGACTTAAGGGACGCTACTGTCCGTCCGCAGTCAATGACTGTCCACGTCGCCATCGGAGCCACAGCAGGAGTATCTAGTCCTATACATCGCCCAGAACTTGTTTTTAAACAGGGTGTTGGTCTATATACACCTTTACAGCGCTTCACCCAAGTAAAATACACCGAGTCATTGGGCTCTGCCCGCATGCGCGACGTCCATTATTCTGCAGGAGACAGCTACGACGCATGCTCAGAAGGACCTCTACAGCCCAGTAGATTAAGACGGCAGCGCGCACAAGGCTGTCATTGAAATGGTCTATGCGAGGCGATAAACATCTCATGTGCATACAAACGAACTGTACTATTACTGCCATTACTGTAGAGCTTCATGAAAAACTGGAAGATATCCGAATTAATGCATTGAAGAAGAATGTCCCGGTCGCGCGATGCATGGTTACAAACAGAGATGCTTCGATTCTTCCGCACTTTCTCTACCATTGTTCATATGTGCTATAGACCAACGCGCGGCTCTGACGTCACGCCGCTGTGGCGGCGCTGCGGTCGACATGGTGCATGCGCCAGACGCTTTACTTCTTCCATATCTGGTTTCTTTGCGAAACCCGCAGTGCCCACAAAACTCAGTAATGCGGAGCGCAAGTTCGTCTGCTTCTTTGCAAGAGTCGTCGTGACGTCAGAACACCGAGCTCTGATTGGCTCTGACTGAAGAATGGCGGGTAGCCTTCGGGGCAGCTTGCTTTGAGGCCCTATCCTTCAATCAGAGCCAAGCAGAGATCGGCGTCTTTCTGACGTCACCGGAACCCCTGCAGAAGAAGCAGACGAACTTGCGTTCCGCAGTTGGGCCCGAGCCCGATGCCGAGCGCCCCTCGACGCGTTGATTGGACGCGAGGCCCAGCCGAACGCTGACGCAGCACACTCGTATCCAATCAAAGTCTTCGCTCGATCTCACTGCGACGACATCGAAATTTTAGTGGAAAAAGCGTAGGCAAACGCGGACATTGTTTGTAAACAGCGCGTCGGCCCTATATAACAGCACCGACCATAAGGCCCCTTATTTAAATGGACCTTTATGATCGTGTGAATGGGCAGCGACTCGCTGAATTAACTCTCTGAACTAACGGCAGCGACTCTCTGAAAGTAGCTATCAAATATAGTGTGGAATAGCACCTCGAACGTAGCAACTTTATATTTTGAAGTATTGGATAACAGAAAAAAACGAGTATTCTTCATGCATTCTACAGGGTGTCTCAAAAAAGCGGCCAGCCTCTTTAAATCGACCGCAAAAATCCGTTTTTTAACCTATCGCGCTACGATATTAGGCAGCGTTGTCCTCAGGTGGTCCATTTTTTCAATAAAACCTGCAAAGAGCGAACTTACCCGAGGAAAAATTAAATAAGAAAAAAGCTTAACTCTTGTCGAAACGGAGTGACGCCGCCGGTCTTTAAACAATAGGGCGCCCTGTTGTTTGGAGACCGGTGGCTTCGCTGCGTTTCCTTAGAAGTTAAGTTTTTTCCTTTATTTCTTTTTCTTCAGGTAAGTTCGCTCTTTGAAAAATTTATAGAAAAAACGCACCCCCTGTGCGCAACGTTGCAGAAAATAGTAGCGCTATATAGCTTAAGAAACCGACTTTTCCGGTCGATATAAAGAGCCTGGCTGCTATTTGAAACGCCCTGCATAACCTCTGACAGTTTAAAAAACGAAGCGCGTGGCTGGTGTTCATGCTGCTTCGTGATTGGCTCTCCGGCATTCTTATCGGCTAATGTAGCAATCTGATTGGTCGCAGAGCGATAATGAGATGTCCGAGACTCGCCGCGCACGGCGTTTCTTAAATTGTCGGCGACCATATCACCAAGTTTTGGCGCTTTCGTTCGAAACAAGTTTTGACGATCTGCACACTCACGTCGTTCAAATGCCTGTACCGCCACTCGCAATCCTTGATGACTCGGCCCTTGGGTCCTATTGGCACCTGCGAGGTAAGAAGAAGCAACCATTTTCTAAACGCTCATTTTCTATCGATTTTCTAGGTAAAAAGAACAGATATTCCAGTGACATCATTGGGACAGGCAGTGCTATAAAATGTCAAAACTCAAAATGAACTCAACCCCAAGATTAAGAACAGGACGTCGTCTAGAAAATGTGGAGAGGATATCGTAACAGGCCCAAACGAACGCGTTCAGTAAATTCAATGGCTGATCCTATATCCCCTTTCTACAATTCTCAGTCAGGAATATCTTGGAGGAGAAAATGGCGTTCTTAACGATCACGCAAGAGTCAAATGATTAACACAATCATGCAGGCATGTAAAAATAATAAACGTAGTATGAAATGATCGTTGCATACCGAGTTAAGCATTAAAATACGAGCAAAACACAAATAGGCAAAACAGAAGATATAGCAGTTAAAAATTAGTATTGGGGAGGGGGTGCAACATTCGCGCCCCTAGTGGCTAAATTGAGAGCTACTCCCATAAGCACGAGACTTGGTCAATCTTTGCCGCGCGTTCAATCGAGAAAGATGAAGTAAATAATCCAGTGCACGTGTGCATTGTGTTGGTAAACACAGGGGAAAACAAACTGGACATAGCGCCCCCTATAGTTTAATCTCCTCGCCATTGGCCACGGTGGCAATTAGCCCAGTCACGAGAACGTTGACAAGCGTAAAACTGTTATACTGCAGTCGTAGACGTATCGCAGAGCATGTTAAACCAGCTGTAACTCACTGACTAAATTGATCCGTTTCAATGCGCACTGATTGCATACTTCTCGGGGCTGAAGAACGTTTACCACTACTGGTGTTCGCAATCGCCCGATAAAACGAATACTGGTTAGTGGGGTACAACAATTCCCACAAAGAATTGTTGTAGAGGGGTACTGCAATTCCCGAAAATACAGTGAGTGCGCAGGCGAGCTGGTGATAGCAGTTAATCATGATGCTTGAAATCCGATACTGTGGTGAGGAAAAACACAGAAAGCTTAAAATCTTCGACTTAATATTTCAGATGTTTTTCCCTCACTACAGTCTCGGGTTTTAACCATGATAAACTACCAATTCTCACAAGCATATACAAGCACACTCTAAGAACAATCTGGTCGGGAATAAACTCTTAGGGGTTCTTCCGCTTGTCCGTATTTGGTACCATAAAAATGTTATTTTAAGCACCCCCTGAAAGTGTTTTTCGTGAAAAACCTATCAGTTTTCTTCATCGCACAGTTGCCTTTTTAGTGCGTCAGGGGGCAAGAGTGCTTGAGGTGGAACCGTTCTTCACGGGCTCAAATAGTCCTTAGGGCGTCGAAAAATCTTTCAAGAAAGGATTTTTTCTTAGAGTGCACAACAATTAAAGAAAAAAAGTTCAGTAATCCGCAAAAAAAATTTACACAATTTTTTTCTGCGTATCTTCGGTAACCGTTTTCTCATTTTCATTATACAGGCACACAAATGTTGGTAAAAGTGTCCCAATTTCTCCCTTCTTAAAAGTTATTTATCACCACAAGTTATAATCAAATCTCTTGTTTAGAGACTAACGGACGTCACTAGACAATCCGACCTCTTTTTTGTTTGTAATTTCTCCGATTAATGACGCAATTATTCATTTCCTTGGACAAAGGCACAACAAAACGGTAGAAACTCCTCGATCCATCAATCATCCGACAAATGCTCGCGTCATTCCTTCTCTCCTTCCTTCCACTTTTTTTCCCTTGTTTTTCCTCAAGTTTTGTGACGCAATATGACGTTCTGCATGGTTTCAAAAGAGTGCATAATTCCAAGTTCCCTCGAGGAGTCGCTGCGCCAATTTTCCGATTGCCGCATTGGTTAGAGGACTCGTCAGACAACCGGTTTTCGCTGACAGTGTCTGGAGCAGTAGGAGACTGTCGTAAACGCAGCTAACTCTTCGCAATCGCCAAGCGAGAAGGCTGGAACCAAAAACAAAAGTTGCTACAATATTTAGGTGTTTTAGATATCATTTCTACAAACGGTGAGTGCTCTCACGTTTTCTTGTCAGCAAGTCGATCGCAGTGATTCGTGTAGGAGATACACGAATATCTGCGCTAAATCATTGACCGCTTAAGAACCCCACTTTTTTAAACTACTGTACCGTTTGCGCTTGTTTGATCGCGAGTTTGCATCTTGAAAAGTGTGTAATATCACTTAGAACTTGAGGCTTTGGAGCGGTTTATTTTTTTCGTTTTGCTTTTCTTGCGTATCGGGTTGTAGCACTTTTGATAGTTTACAACTTTCAAGCACATTCGATGAATACAATGACCACTATGCTTCGTTTCATCCTAAGTCAAAACGCAGCCGACGCTACGTGCGTTGGGAACCGCTCAAACTGTGTAAAAGCGAAAGTCACCGGGACTTCCCTGTACATGATTGGTTCAGCGCTAATAGAGGACATAGGGAAACATGACGAACGCCATGTGCGGACGTCTTTGACTGTGTATGATTGGTCCCATAAGCTCGGATCGACGGCGTTTGGGCTTAGCCTGAAACGAAGTACGGAGCCCATAGACAGTGAGAAAAATATATAGAATTCACTGTGACTACTAGATAGTGAATGATGAGCAGTAAGCGTCATCCGTGAACTCGTGTAAGTTCGGGCCCGAATTGTCGAAAAACGAGCTGCGAGTTTGATTATTTCTCTTAACCGCATCTTGGCTATAATATAAAAGTTGAAGTCTACTTTACGAAGCTCGACATTTTGCGGTACGCTGCGATGTCGTGGTTGAGATTTGGGACGAGTGCGGTGGTGTGGCTTTTCAACCCCGTGTGTCACGCTTTTTTTTTGGACGAGAATTTGCGGTGTGACAGGCAAATTGTTAAAGCACCAATTACACACTGTGTGGCAAAAACCGAGCCCGCGGCGATTCGGCGTTTCCAAACGATCCGCCAGTTGCTTCGTAGAGTCTTCCGCAAATTATAATTAATATACCTGCAGACGAAAACGTCATACTTCTCAAGGCTAGCCACGTCTCAGGCCGCCCGTCTTCAAAGAAAACCTAATCCCACATTGCGGTCAAATCCATCTCAAGGCGGATTTACTGGGGCTTATGTTAATTAAGCTGTCAATCACTGACCCGTGTCTGATTTTTGAACTCCCATGTACGGCGGACCTTTGACCCAAATGGCGCTCGCTTTAAAAAAAAATAAGAATAAAAACTAAACGGAGTGTATGCACGCAATCCTTTAGTCGGCTTAAGGTCTGACTGCATTCAAAGTCACGAGCTTACGCATCCCATAAGACACGATAATTTTTTGTTTTTATTTTTCGACTTGTTTGTCAGATGATGTGTTTGTTGGGGGTATTAGCTTCAAGGCCGTCCGCAATCGGGTACCGGCCCACACGTCACCTTCCTGCTCGTCACCGGAAAACTTGTCACAGGACTACTGGTCACACCGGCCTTCTGGATCTAGGTCATTTTGTCATAGGAACACTCGGCACGGGTGCCGCTCGTCACCGGAACACTGGTCAAAAAGTTGTCTGTGTTTCGGTGGGAGCATGGTGAACTTTGCTTTACACAAAAGAACCGCAACACCAGGAATGAATCCTAAAGCCGGTGGTCACACCACAAAGACGGTCTGCATACAGATTCGAACGCGGGTCGCTGCGAGATCCGCCTGCTTCGAATGCCGCATGGCAACGAGTTCAAGGAGAACACTTGGCATGCGTGTTTGAAGACTGCCTTTTGTTTGGTGTATGAGCAACATTACCCCGGCTTAACGTCGTTTTGTTCGTTTGTTTGTTTTCTAACATAATGAATTTGGAGCCGACTTGGAAACACGTTTAGGACGCGGATACTTGGTAAGGCTACGTTCAGGAGAGTTTGAAGCTAACGAACACTCAACGTACTGGACTTCAATAATGGTGAAAGAATTTTCGTGCCATTGTAGAAAGAAATTTCTTACACAGCTAGCAGAAAATGTAGTTATGTCATTTATTGGGTATGTTGGGATGAGAACTACGGGAAGACAATCGATAACTTTTCACGAGGCCGTTAGTATTGTGGGCGTTAGTGGCACCGATTCTTATTTTGGAGATCACACAAACCACTCTACTGAAATATGGCAAAGCATAAAAAAACGGCAAGATTTTTTTTTTCTCTTTTAAGCAGAAGAGTTAAATTGTGCCTTTCCTCTACTTGTCGTTTTTCCAATGGTTTTGTTAAATTGTTTTTTCACGCTGTCGTTTTTTACTAAAGACATTGTAGAGATTTTTTGCATTAAATTCTACTTGATGCCGGATTTTTTTAGTATTCGAAATTGTTTCCACGATCACCACACTTTGCCATATTGTACTAAACGACCATATTGTACTAAACGTACAAATATCTGAGATATTTGTATGATCTGCATAAGTTCAATGAAGACCTTTTAACCTATCATTTTAACGTCATACGGTCAATCCTAACATCCTGAGGATTGGGCATGCCAGCTCCGAAAACTTCTATTACAATATTCATTAAAAAATACAAAAACAAACAGGCTGTGCCGCATGCTATGAAATTCAAAGGCGTGAGTGAGCAGCTGATAAAAGACGCTTGTCCTTCAAGAACTCATGCGACGAGTAGTTCTTCAAAACTCACGCCTAGTCGACGGCATAGAGTTATTATAATGTACGGTAGAGGTTCAACTGGCACTATTTTTTTTTTTTTGTAGTGTCTATGCGACTTCCCGGATGCAAACAAAAGCAGACAGCAGCCAGTCTGCTTTTGCGACGCTCCTGTGCATTCAAAACGAGGGTGCATTTTGTATCTTCGCCGGAAAATACCATGGATCACGTTTGATATTTCGACCGCACCGAATAGTATGTACCTTTATTAAGATTTCTGAAGGTGTAAATATTTTAGTTACGTCATTTTCTTTCATCAGTAAATGATGTTCAACTTCGCTATATTTCAGGCTCAAATTTCTGCTTTACAGGAGGTGTGTAAACACGTGTGGCGGATCTAAGCGAAATAACCGTTGAAAGGAATGTAAAGTGTGTTCAAAGTTCGCCAGGATTTCAGGGACGTTTATGTATTGCTAATATGCCAGTCCTGTCACTATATAAAATTGACCCCGTCCTGCATCGTTACGGGCGGTTAAAAACACTCAAAACGTATATAAAGTATAAAGTATGTGGGTTATAAAAGGTGTTTCTTTCCAATATTTCCTATGCCAGACAGCTTTTATCGGGCACTTGTCCTCTGGCGTCTCCATATTTTCAAAGATTTCGTCCGCGCGGGTGATGTTTTGAACGCAGAACAAGCATCTTCGTACATATTGATGAGCAGGAAGAATAAAGCAAATTATTTATTGCAAATCGGTCTCTATTACGTGGCCTTCTATTTATTTTGATCATCTACATGCACGGGTAGTTACTGATCCCGTGTTACTGCGTAGTTCTTGCAGTCTCCCTTGGTTTTCCACATGTCCTTCGTTTGGCACGTATATCCACCATGTCCAAAAGCGCCGACGCCGTGTTCGCGCTAACAGTGTCCGACAGTGCACATAAACGCATGTATGAAGCTGTCTTAGCACTGCGTTTAATGCCATGAGTTTTAAGAAACAAAAAACGACATAACTGACCGATTATTTCGTACGCGTTAGTGAGAAATGTTCCAAGCTACTATTATAGCATGTACGAATTATTCGTGATATTTGCAATTATAATCAAACGCAGGGAGAAAATGTACTCACTTTTTCCCATTGAAATGCATTTGCGAATGTAAATTTTCGACTGGTTGCTGTCTGCTTCAATTTGCACCAGCACACTAGTGCCAGTTGACCCTCTGGAGTATGTATTATTATAAGTCTATGGCCGGTGGTTTCTGTTTTCCACTATTAAAATTACGGTGTGTTCACGAGTATATGTATTCTTTCACCGCTTCATTTCAAATCGATGTAAAATTTCCGGGAATGTATGTCATTATAATTATTTCGCTAGCAACTCGAATTGTGGATATCACTGTTTCAAATATTGACTAATCCTATCACAAAACCAAAGTCACTCGTCACATTGTATAAAAAAAAAAATCAAGTTCTAATACCAGTGTTCCGTGCCACAAGAATGCCGCCGTGACAAGAATTCCTCGCACGAGATGACCTGTGACAAGCTGACCTACCGGGCGAGTACACCTATGCCAATTAGTTGCCCCCCCCCCCCCTCCCCCAATCTGACGGAAACTTAGTGCAGAAAAGGTGCCGTGTAACCGAGATTTAGGTGTCACGCCGAAAGATCCCCAGACGGTCGGAATTAATCCTCGGTCCTCCGCTGGGGTGTGCCAGATGCCCTCCGTTGGTTTATTACGTAAAAACCCCCAAATTTGACTTTGATAGATGCAACCAAGATAGGATCCAAATGCGAGTTGTACCTACTCCATTGAGTATTCACTCTCGCATCAGTGGAATGAGAATTGAAGAACCGTGCGGTTCGTGTATGGGCAACTAGACGTGTGGCAGTATAAGGGTTAACTCCATTTCTTAAATAACGTGCGGAAAGGGCTTAGATTAGGTACACTGACGCCTTTACTGCTTTACTAGTTTACTATGTGCTTGCCTTACCTAAAAAAGCAGTATAAACGGGATTATGAGACAGGAAAATCTAACTGGATTTCTTGCTGGAAACTTGAACTCCAATTCGCAGACAATAGTCTGCAAACTGGATTTCAGGATTTCAGCAAGGAATTCAGTTAGTATTTTTAGTTCCATAATCCAGTCTATACTGTTTTTTTTCGGTAGGGTATGCGACTGGCATATAACCGTCCTATAAATAGACCACCGAATCACCCGACTAGAGAAAAAAAAAAGGAAACTGCAGTTGTCCCTTATTCGAAACAAGTCAGTATGGTAGCCGAAACTAGGACAAAAAAGATATATACAAGGTGTAAATTTAAACATCATCATTTTAACAGCGATAAATGTCATTATACTATCATTTCGGCCGTTGTTCTTGCAACTTTGGCAGCGGTATACGCGAAACATAAATGTGCGCACGTTTTCCTAGGTGTGGTATACAGGGGAAAAAGCAGTGACACGGTTTCATGATGCTTCCAAGGCCTCCTCCGTATGCATGGTCTTCCGGTATCAACGGCACTTTAAACCCGGCTATCGAGAGCGAAGGCCTATTGAAACAACACGATCATTATAGTATACGCTGGGGTCGCTGGCTCAAATTACAAAGCGCAATTCGCAATTATCGGTGATTAGGGGTGAGCAGCGTGAGAGGAAGGCTCTTCGACATACAAATCCACGCGAGCGGGTCGTGGGAGCTTATCAGGCAACCTCATGACACGAATTTGACGTCGACGGTCACGACGACAGTTACGGGCGATTACTTCGGCGCTGCCTTTAGAAACGGCGTGGCATATGGGCGCCGGGCGGCATGTCGTGCCGTTGTAAGTCAAGGCTATTGGAAATGCGGAACTAATAGGCTTATACGCGCACTTAGCATCTATATACTTGCCGAGGTGCGGCACTCTCGGCTATTATATTTCAAGGCAGCGCACTCTTATAATCAGATTATGAGCGGCGCGCGTGAAAACGGGAAAATGACAGGCAACTATACTCGTATACAAAGAATATAACGAGACAATGTTTGTTTTTCTCAAGAAGGTTGCTTGTGCTTATTAGTTATGATCAGAAAGAAGCCGACAGTTCATTAATGTCAAGTTTCTATAGTGCCGGTTTTCATATCGATCCGTTCCTCGCTCATTTAGCCAAATGAACGATTTGCCAGAAGATACAATAGTTAAAAAAATACTGTATTTGAAATGTTGAACGCGTTTGTAATCAGGGTATCAAGTAAACGGAAGAGATGCAGGAAAACGCAACACAGACGTCGGTGGGTCGTCAGTGTTATCCTCCTGCACATTGCTTGCTTTCTAGTGTTGCTGGCTGGTTTTATTTTTGCTGGTCGGCAGTTTCGTAAGACTACGTTTCACGCAAGAACATTTTTTTTTTTCGAAACACGAGATAGACACTTGTAAGTATTTTCGAAAGCAACACAAACGTTACGCGGGGAACGCGAATTTTATGTGACCAAAATTGTCTTTGAGCTAACCAGTAGTCTCTAATAACCCTAGCAACAACTTTTATATGTATAAGACATTGCCTTGTCCACTTAACGGATATGACCAAATAAGAGCTTATAAGAGCATACAAGAACCATATAAGAACATATAAGAACAATATACGATTATATAACAAGATAAAAGAAACTGATAAAAAGTTTCTTGTAACCTTATATAATCGTATATTGTTCTTATATAATCTCGTATGGTTATTGTATGCTCTTATAAGATTTTAATTGAGGAAATGCGCTTATTGGAAAAGAAATTTCTTATAAATATAAGTTTTTTTTTACTAGGGAAGACGTTTTAATTTGCCTTCAAATGGCACATGTTGAGACTGAAGCTTCAGTCCAGCTCGTAACGCAAGCTTAATTTTTTTTTTTTTTTTAATTTCCGCTGAGATCTAAATTTGAACCCCAAAACCGTAGACATTCAACATATGTTTAATCGCAGACAACTTAAAAAAAAAAAGCATGTCGTGTTTTATTATCTTTACGCATTTTGCTATGGGATCCCACTACAGACAGATCCTCACTGTTCTAGTTGTCTTATCAACGTTGTTACCTTATCGAGCGTCGTGCAGTTAACTCAGATGCCGTTTTCGCACGTAGGGCCTTTTTGTTGTTTTTTGTTTGTCCGATTGAAGCACCGAGAACAGCATCTGGTGTTTATCTTGTCGCATTTAATTGGACGATCCTTTTACGATGTCCGAGGTGCATTGAGATAAGTCTTGCGCTTATCCGCTTCGACAGTTGGGGATACCGCGGCAGGGACGATCTGAAGCCCTCGCTGCCACAGCCTGAGGTGTGCCATACTGCAACGCTCGATCGCCGCAGGTTTGATTTTAAGGTAACCTACTGAGTGACTGTTCTAATGCATGATCATCTAATGCTTGACGTTAAGTCCCTCGATTAACGCTTTGCTAAGAGACCGACTGATGTGCCGACGCGCTCTCTTAATTGTCCGTGCCTGCGTTTCGTTTCCGGTTAGGAAGAACATGGCGGATTTGACTCGACCTCACTCTAGAGCAACGGTTTGGTACCTTGGCATTCGAAAGCCTACCCGCGTCCACGGTTGTTCTTTCTGAATTTTCACGCCACCTGACCCGCCGAAGTAACTGGGAAGATTTCGAACACAGCCATGGTGGGCAAGATAGGAAGAACATGGTGGACCGCGCGAGGGGAGGAGGAGCGAGGGAAAGAGAACGGTGGAGGAGGCCTTGTGGCTGCATCGCGTATAGCGTTATCTAGGGACGTCCGCTTGACGAAGTGAGACGCGTGAATATATAAAGCCTCGCCCTGCGCTTCTCAAGTTTGTCATTCTTGCTTCGGGATTCGTCCTTCTCCGTTTCTGTCGGCTAAAATCTGATAGGCTGGGGTGCGTTAATAATATGCTGGAAACACGCCACTTCACGCGTTCCTTAAGTTGCCAGGGACTAAAGCCATCACTGCTCTCTTGACCCGTTCAACCAATAGGAAGAGTGCTGCGGAGAGCAAATCGTCTGCTTCTTGCACAGGAGTTGTGGTGACGTCGGAACGACGCCGAGCTCTGATTGGCTCTGATTGAAGGATAGTGGGTAGACCTCAAAGCAAGCTGCCTTCAGGTCCACCCACTATCCTTCAATTAGAGCCAGTAAGAGCTCAGTGTTCTGACATCACCACAACAACTGCAAAGGAAGCAGACGAATTTGCGTTCCGCATAGGTGTCATACTCCGATATCTTGCAGTCAGTGTCAGAAGTGAACGGCTTTGTCCCATCGACGCTGCATGACAATTGAAGCGTTTGTGGAGTGGTTTTCAACCAATGACGCTTCGCGGACCCTTTGTGGATTGGCGGAGATGAAGGAGGACCCCGTTCGTGGTGAGGTGAAGGGAAATATATAGGTTAACTATGATAACGATTTAATAAGTGGAAATAACTAAGGGCTAGTGTGAAGTAGATTTCTCTCACAAAACTCACCCGGAAATTGAAACGTTTCTGCTCAATCTAAAAAAAATACAACTTTTATTGCCGGGCTTGACTGATAAGGCAGGGCTTCGCGGACCTCTAGATTGCCTTGACGGACCCAAAGGGTCCGCGGACGCATATTTGAGAACCATTGTGTTAGTGGAATTGATTAAGTCGGTGTGCCGAATGCGTCTCAACGCAGTACGCGGTGAGGAACTTCCAAAAGTGGAAGGCGTTGTGATTTGATTTTTGTTTTCCTTCTGCTTTTGCCGTCAGGACAGAGCCGACACCTTCTCTTTTTCTCCCGTGTAGGCATCCAACGCAAGATGCGTGTGGCCGTTATCGGTGCGGGTTGCTGCGGCATCACTGCCGTCAAAGCCTGTCTCGAAGAAAGCCTTGACGTCGTCTGCTTCGAGAGGGCTGCCGATTCCGGCGGCCTATGGTGGTACCGAGAGGATGCGGCCGCGGGCACCGGCACTGTGATGCGCTTCACCGTGGCCAACACCAGCAAGGAAATGTCTTGCTACAGCGACTTTCCGCCTCCCAAAGAGGCTCCCATCTTCATGAATCACAAGCAGACCTTGCGGTACATACGAAGTTACGCCGAACATTTTGATGTGCCGTATCGAATCCGATACCGGCACGAAGTTCTTCGTTTGGACAAGGATGGAACCTTGAAGGTTCGGGACTTGGAAACGGGCAAGGAATTTGAAGAGAACTTTGATCGCGTCCTGGTATGCACGGGTCATCACGCCACGCCGCTAATGCCAGATGTCCCTGGCATGGACAAGTACAAAGGACGGATACTGCACTCCCATCAGTACAAGTATGCAGATGAAGGGCTGCGAGGGAAGAAGGCCGTGGTGGTCGGGATGGCTAACTCGGCTGTGGATGTCGCCGTCAATCTGACCTCTGTAGCAGAACAGGTTGGTCTTTGTTAGAGTATCTGAATAACTTAGATTGTTTTAGCACTATTGCAAATGGTAAGTGTAGAGAACATTACATGACCAGAGTGCTCTTTAGCTGTTTCACAGCAATATAACACTAAAGATGGTAAGCGTCAAACGCTCATTAATCTAATTCTTCTGGAGGATAGGGTTTTACAGTTGGGATAACTTCTGGGGCTTGCGGTTTTGGAGTTGCTCGTGCTTATGGATAAAAAATATGTAACTTCGCTTGACGTGTGTGCTACATTTCTGTATCAGTAACCTCGACCAAGACATGCCATAAACAAAGGAGCTCAACTTTATTTCAGGTCTTCCTCAGCACCAGGAGAATCAACTGGATTCTGCCGATGCATTACAAGGGCATTCCGCTGGACGTGTACCTGTTCAACCAAATGCGCCTATGGTTGTACAGCTGGCTGCCAAAGTCCTACTTCGCTCGTTTAATGATACGCTGTTCCAACGAATCCTGGGACCACAAGATCTTCAACCTCGATATCAAACATAACGTTCTGTCTCAGGGGGCAGTGATTAACGCTTTTGTGGACGGCAAGCTCCTTGACGGAAGCGTTAAAGTCCGGGGCCCCCCTGAGCGCTTTACCGAGAAGGGCGTAGTCATGGATGGCGCCGAAGAAGTGGTAGATCTGGTGGTCTTCGCAACTGGCTACAAGTCGGATGTCCCATTCGCGTCGGATGCACTTCCACGCAATGGCGATTACTTTCCCCTGTACAAGATGATGATTCCGCCAGAAAATCCGAACATCGTGTTCCTTGGTTTCATAGACGCCGGTGCCAACTTGCTCCAAGCGTTCGAGATGCAGGCACGTTACGCGGTACAGGTCTTCTGCGGAAAAGTGACCCTGCCGTCGGTAGATGCAATGAAGGCTGACATCGAGGCGGTTCAGAAGGCGATGAAGGCCTTTTACGTAGCTACTCCTCGGCACGCACTGATGGTCGACAGGGTTGCGTACGTGGAGGAGTTGGCTCGAGCCATTGGAGTTAAGCCTAACTACTGGAAGATGTTCTTCTATGATCCGAAGCTTTACTGGAAGCTTATGTTGAGCCCCGTGCTTAACTACCAGTACCGACTGGAAGGTCCGCACTCGTGGAAAGGAGCTAGGGACGCCATTTTGCGTTTTGATGAAAGAATGCAGGCCCCCTTTGGTGACCCCGTCAAGAAAACGGAGAATGGTACTAGCATCGGAACTTGGGCCATGGCACTCGCTGTTCTTGCAAGCTGCGCATGCATCAAGACGGAATTCGGGAAGGATATATGGGCCAATGTGGTCGAGTATGGTCGTCGATTTTCGAACTTGACGGCCTTCAGTGCTTCATTTAAGACGCCATGGTAGGCGGCATCAAGCAGAGTGTCCAGCAGTTTTACGACCTGCACCGAGGCTGTCGCTGAATTTGGTCCGACGAAAGCTATCGAATTCTTCTTCATTGAATAAATAAAATCCTATTAAAATAACATAAGGAACCGGGCGTTAATTTCTGACTTCAACAGCACAAATGACATGGCAAAGCCTCAGGGTTTGATTGAAGCACGCACTCGGTCCGTGCACTCAACTCACATGGGGCCATACTTCGTCTCACCTTGAGTCCAAAAGCAACCGACACTACGAGGTGATGACCCCCCTCAGATAGCGTCAAAAGAGCACCATCATGGCGTTCGTCCTTTTCCTGTACGTGGTATATGATCGCTGAATCAGTAATTAACAGTAAAGCTCTAACGACTTGCGCTTTGAAAGCTGCTTGATTGGTCCCATTACCTGGTAGAGTCGGCTGCATCTGGACTCACGCTGAAACGAGGTATAGTATCAAGACAACTTGGGAAAAGCAAAACGGGGCTAGCTGAGTTGAGCGCAGTGGAGTACACTGGCTTCAAGCATTGGCTCGGTATTTGCCAGAGGTTCAGCTACCTTATGGGCATTGACATTTCTAGAAACTGAAGGCGCGGGGAGTGTCGAGCCTCTTATTATCCTTCAGGAGCCAATAAAATTACGGCATTAGCTGATAAGAAACCTCAAAGAAAGAATCACGAAGCAAGAATGGTGAACATATGATAAGCCCCAACCTGCGTTTCTTTAACTGCCAGTTATTGTAAAAAAAAAAAAAAATGCCCTGAGGAAATCGGCAGTCAAACGAGCCGAGCAATTCGACGACGATGCCCAAATCCTGTCTTGGAGAAATCACTATATTGTTGCAGGTGGCTTCTCATCTCGGAGCAGGTCGCATGAATACCTCAAAACTTTGCGAAGGATTTGTCGTTGTATCGTAGTGTTTGTCGTTGTGTCGCAGTGCCTGTGGCTACGTAAATATGAAAGCAGCGTATCGCATTGCGAGGAGACTGGGTTTACATGAACGCGATCGCATGCGTGTCGAATCTAGCAGGGACCAATCGCACGTCCCCTGCCTCTCGACTTCTTCCTCTTCTACTTATCTACTACAAATCAAAATAGAAATAATACGTTACGGTCGCATTCATGTAAACGCAGCTTAAAGCTGCGGATACATGGATGCGACCGTAGCGTGTCGAATCGAGATACGACGACTTTGGCTGCGTTCACATGGATGCAACCGTGGCGCGTCGAATCGAGATGTGACGATGTTGGCTGAGCTCACATGGACGCGACCGTGGCGCATCGAATCGAAATTTAACTCTTTTTATTGGTAGTAGATGGTTAGAAGAGAAAGAAGTAGGGAGACAGGGTGCGTCTGATTGGCCCATGCCCGATTCGATGCGCTACGGTCCCGTTCATGTAAACCAATACTGCGATTGGGTAGAAAAGGAAGAAGCAGAGGGACTGGACGCGTGTGATTGGTTTCCTCCCAATTCGATGCGCAACGTAGCATCCAATAAACACAGCACATCGAATTGAGATTTGACAACAGTAATTGAGAAGGGGAGGAAATAGGAAGATTGGGCGCCCTTGATTGGAAGCCTTTTAATTCGATGCGAATCGGTCGCATTCATGTAAACGTAGCCTGTGATTGGTTCAAATAGAAAAAAAAAATATGAGGGCGACAGAGTCCTCGTGATTGGTCGAAGCGCAACTTGATTTGATAGTAACGCATTCTTAAAAATGGGATTGTACTGGGTGCATCACGAAGCTGACAGAGTGGTGGAAGTTACATGCTTGTTGGGCCAGTCAACCATCGGTCTCGTACCACGTGATCGCGCTCTCTGCGTACACTCAATCGCACAGCGGTGTCAAGCGATGAAAGGCAGGAAGATGATTGAACTGGCGAGCACGTATCCGGAGAACAAGTCGTCTGCTTCTTGGGGTTGCGTTGGCGTTAGAACGATGTCAAGTTCTGATTGGCTCTGATTGAAGGATAGTGGGTAGACCTCGAAGCAAGCAGTCTTTAGGTCTATCCACGATCCTTCAATCAAAACCAATCAGAGATCAGTGTTCTGACGTCACCACAACCCCTGCAAAAGCAGACGAAATTGCACTCCGTATGTGGAGCGCAAGTTCGTCTGCTTCTTTTGATGGAGTTGTGGTGACGTCAGAAAGCCGAGCTCTGATTGGTTCTGAATGAAAGATAGTGGGTAGACCTGAAGACAGCTTGCTTTGAGGTCTATCCACTATCCTTCGATCAGAGCCAATCAAAACTCGGCGCCTTTCTGACGTCACCGCAACTCCTGTGCAAGAAGCAGACGACTTGCTTTCCACATAGCTTTCACCGCCCGCGGTCAGCTTAGCGGTGAGTGACTACGATTGGTTCTCGGGACGTTCTTTTTGTGCTGGGGAGTTTTCCCACTCATTATAGAAAGAAGCAAGGTCTCTTGATACTGCGCACTGCCTTTTACAAGCAACGATCACCAACGCGTATGACGAAGCACAATTTCTGGATGAACGTGGCAGCTTCCAGTCCATTTTGTTTGTTATACACCGCAATTGATTTTTTTAAATCCCGCTTCGTCACACTCGTTGACACCGCAAATGATGTCGCTGCTCTCTAGCAACTCCAGGGTGTCAGGATGTCTACTTTTTCCGCAAGTTACTAGGAGAACCAGTCTACGGAGAGAGCACGGAGAATAGACCCCTCTCGAAGGTCTGCCCTCTGTTGGAAGCTGTGGAATCCCTGCACAATGGCGGACAGTGGCGGACGCAGATGCGACGTGCAGCACAGTCAACTCCACGAGACGGCGGATGAAGACATTCAGCGCCAAAAGCGCAACGTCACGGCACTTGTTGCCTGCCAGTGCGTATGTTATCACAAGACTAATGAACCAATGAAGCGCGCAGGCATGCACCGCGTGACCTTACGGTTTTAGTGTATGTGTTGGCGTGTCTTCTAGTTTGCTCCGCCATATTGTGCAGTGGTGGTCCCGACCTTCTAACAATCGGCACGTGATTTTCTAAAGGGGTTTATTGCATATTAACGACTATGAAAAAAAAGTTTCGATATAATAATAAATGTATGCGCTGTATCACTATGAATGACGTAAACACGTGAAACGTCATGCTCATTTTCACAACACACTTTTTTTTCTTTTGTTTTAATATATAATAAGTCTCATAATTCACCGAGCTCGTCTTGTAGATTGCAGCGATCGACTCTTCCCGCGTGCTTTTGTGCGAAACGCTCCAGATTTTCTTATGGCTCGTTTATACTTGCGGATTCCTGCTCGGCGAATCTGCGCGCAAACAAAAAGTGGATTTCTTTTTCTTTTCTTGCTGTGCAAGGTGGTAAAGTTGACTCGTCGCTGGCGGAAAATCAGAATCAGTCCGGGGACACTCGTACATATCCAGATTTTCCGCCAACGACGCGTCGATTTCGCCCCCCGCGGCTCCAAAATCCGCATACCACTGCGAGGATACGCCCGCAAATCCACGAGTGTAAACGCGCCATTATAAGCCATAGTCCCATCGCTGATACATAATACAAAAGACAGTCACGCAGACACCGCCTGCAGATCATGTTAGAAGCATGCGCATGTACGACTCAAGCATGTTTCCAAGATGCTCGAGGCCTCTCCGCGCACATGATTCCGTCATCATGTCCGCAACGAACACCGTCTCCTTTATATAATGTACACCAATAGTGTGACAGGAGATTTAGGATGTAGTAAGGAGGAGCTCCCAGGGACCATCTAAGCTATACCCGCTTGCAAAAGCAAAGCAAATCATCGACAATACGGTTAATACTCACAGCACGCTGGAAGGCGGCGTCAGCTTGGCTCCTCAGCAAGACACCTCCTCCGACGAACAAAAGCAACCACGCCGCGCTTACCAGCGTCCTCATAGCGCACGGAGCACACGCCATCCAGACGCCGGTGGTGTTCCTTCTGTGACAGATGTCCCACGCAAAACGCGCGACGCTGTCCGATTTTATATGCGTTACCGCGGAATCCCGGCAGCTATAGCGCCGAAGGCGGGTACACACACACGCGATGCTTCGCCGGCTGAGTCCACTGTGGTCAAGACGCTGCCTCCTCTGCGCTTCTGTGGGAGGTTGGGGAGAGGCGGAGGCCCGTCGCTGTTTCTTCCAGGAGAGAGTGTGGCATTGAAGCGGAGGAGGGGAACGGTGATGGCGAGGAACTGGTCCAACGGGACGGTTTTTGTTTCTGTTTTTCTCTTGAGTACGTCCGAAGAACGCTGGGTGGGATCGTCCGCGTGGTTTTGTTGTCTTGGAAGAGCGCGCGCTGAACGCCGTGTGCATGCAGCGAAAGGGCTGGAGAGATCGTTCCATTACGCGTGACGGGTTACGCGAGATTTTGTTACGTTTGTATTTAGAGTTAGGTAATGTCCAAAGGGATAATTGTATATGCCCGTCCCTGAAAGGTAGTCCGCCCTTTTGTCTTTACCCAATTTCAAGATCTTAGAAGAAAAAAAACGCGATATAAAACCTGTTCCTAAACACCACTTCGTCTTACTTTTGACAACAATAGCAGCAGCGTGATGAGAACTAATCACTGACATTTATCGGGAGAATTCAGAAAAATATTAAAAAAAAAAAAGTCAGCGCTAGGACTGATCACTTGCAATGTTGTGCACAGTATCTCGGCGCAGATTTGCATTCCTGGGTCCAAAACCTTTTCTCTCTCTCTCTTTCTCGATCTTGCCATTCGCATGTTTTCTACCATAGATTACATTTATCTAGTGTCCACGTGATCTGGAAGAAAAGTAGACATGCGAGTGTTTTCTATTGACTGTTGATGAAACAAACTACAAAGGCTTTACATAACAAAAATAACAATTCAGTCGGACGTTTCGTGCCCCATACAGGAGACATCATCAGTTTTGTCAAGTTGATTTTTGTTTTTTGATGCGTAAAGTCTGTATAGTTTGTTTTAGTCATGTGAAGTTATGTTTTGTTAATTACGATATGTTTTTGTTGCGTAAAATCGGTGCAGTTTGTGTAATGTTTTATTATAATGAGTTCTAGCTTCTGGAACATGTTTACCTAGACTGATATATATTGCGAAGGAACATACTTGTCTCGTTTACCACAAACGATGTGGTTGGTGTCCGTTCCACACCCCTATTTTAGTTCACTCAACGTGTAGTCGACCTATAACCGTCTAATTCGCGTTAGTCGGAGTCGATAGTAGCTTTTTGGCGTATAGGGTATTGATCGCTAACGATTCCATGGGCGCAGCAGAGTCCTTAGTGTGTCAGCCTCACCCATCCGCAGCCTTCCGATACATTACACGCGCCCCGAAAAAAAGGGGGTGCCGATTTCGAGAAGTGAAATTACGATAGGTGTCAACTATTTTTTTTTTTTTTTTCATACCTGACTTTTGAACTGGAAGAAGGTTGGCAAAGTCACAAGTAGGCGAAGCTGTAGGAAAGACAAGAGCCGGTTTCTTTTGAGGCGTTGGTAGCGTATGATGGAAGTGTATATGGAGGCCCCTTGAAGCCTATTTTATGTTTTAAGTAAGGAGCCATACCTTTTGTTTCACGCTCTGGCAAATTGCGGTGCATCGAAAACGACCGGGTCACGAAACTTGTTTGAACGCCGGAACCCACGATCGCGAGCATAAAATTCTTGTTTCGCATTTCGAAAGCCAAAATCGCATTGCTCACAAATCATTAAAAAAAAAACAAAAAAAAAACGGTGCTTTGCTAGTTTAATTTAGTGCTCGAACGAGATTTTCTTTAGACGTCTGCAAGCACAGAGCTCACCAAAAACATCTTCCGGTTCTTTGTCGTGTCCTGAAAATGAAGTGCAGCGCGACAGCCGATGCGCTGCACACACTCTTGCAACCTGACCACACACAATATCCGCACTGCACACGGACATTCTACACCACCAGTCGGAATGAATTGCCGTTCAACACACATTATGCAAGCGAAAAAAAAAAAGTTCACTAGTTATTTTAAACAGCGGGAGCTTAGCAACATTGTTACCCACTGTAGATGAGCCAGTGCAGTACGACTGCAACAGCCGAGTCTTTAACGTGCATCACGCATGTAGTGTTACACGACCGCATTCGCCGGTATGGGGCTCATCCAGGTCGAAACGGGCATGGGAGTGGGTAGGAAATTCACGTTATACACAATTATTACGTGACATTACATTACCTGATGTGTTGTAACTACAAAGACCCAAATCGGCAGCTCTATTGTTCGTTAGTTTTTTTTTGTTTTGTTTTTGTTTGTTTTTGTCACGGGGTCAAGACCTCGAACCATTAAATAGGGTTTGAACAATTCATGCGTGATTTCTTTGTTTAATGTCTAATGAATTGATCGGTATACGGTTTGGTCGTCGTCGTAATTGAAAGTTTCTCCGACAAAGTTTTGTGAAGAATGTGCTTTCCGCTAAATTCCGTGGCGAATCCCTGAGGAACTCGTGGCCGATGTTGTGGGGCTGCGTGCTGGCCAGTGTTGCCAATTAGGACGTTTTCAGTGTTGCCTATTGTGAGAAATAGCCATTTTGCTGGTAGCGGCTGTTTTGGCGGTTTTCAACTCGTGCTAGCGTTTTACTTTTAGCTGTAAAATGTATTTTAGCTACCATTTATTACAAAAGAATAGCTGGAATTCAGCGATAAAAAAAGAAAAGTCATAGAGTTGACATTTTTTTCTTACTGTAAGGAAAAGTGTCGTTCAAAAAGAGTGTCGCTCGCTAAGCCATTGAGATGTGGAGAGAATACGGTAGCACACATTTGGAACATGATTTGAACTAATCTGTACATGAGCGCATGAACGCGTTTTTGAAATCTGGCAGATGAAAGGGGAACAGTGAAGTATGTAGAGAACTACATACACAGAAGAATGCTATACGATTTTAAACTTTAAGCTTGGTTAGCAAAAGTTTCAATGGACACCATACAAATCAAATTCCATTTAAAAAAATATTGAAATTGTGCGTAGCATATGAATTTGGTCGTTGAAGCTTTGAACTGCCACCAAATGCTGCATGTGTACTTTGGAAGGCATGGGAACATACCTGGTGACAGCAAGATGAAGCGGGGTCACCGTTCTGTGCATGGAAGCAGTTTGAGTCAAAACAAAAAGCTTCCTTCTAAACTGTTCTTTGATTTATTATACTGCTTTTTAAACTAGTTTGAGAGGAAACGCATTAAACAGTCGTTATTGTCTTTCTGACTAAATTTAGCGGTTTTCAGCGATTTTTCGGGATCTCGTTTGCGGGTCATAGAGCTTTGAAACGACAACATGCACTGGTGAGTACGCTTTCACTAGAGTCCTTTGATACTGTCAGAAAAACGTTGCTCTCGGTAGACGATAATTTAGTACTTTACAAACAGCTCGCGGTAATATATGAATACCTCAAGCGTTCTTCGTGGAAGTATATACAAGCGACATGTACTTCACACATTTTTGAAGATAATGAGTGGGTTTATGTCAGGAGCGTCCACAACTAAAAATAGTGGCATTCCTACCAAACCAATCATTTAACAATAAAAAATGATTTTTTTATAGCGATTTGTTAGGAATGCCGTCACCTTTGGTCGTGGACGCACGTGGTACGGGCTCTTGCACTGTTGTGAAACATGATGGGATTCGTGCCCCCTGCTAATTCCGCGAATGACGTGGTAGCCTGAGGTTTCATATAAGTATGTTTCGGCGTCTCGCCGCAGCGGGGCGCCAGTCACGTGGCTCTCCTCTCATCCGCTGTCTGACGCTTTACCTTTTCCATTTCGGCGGCCGCTTCTTGTGGTGATCTGCCAGGCTCTGTCAGTATATAGGAGGCTAAGACCGAAGAGGACGCAAGGAGACGTGAAGGCCGACCAAAGCTTGTGTGAATATCACGTGACCTTCGGAAAAGCGCAGCGACGCTGGAAGCGCGTACTCACGTGATCCGTTTAAAACACCGCTCAATCGGTAGGGATGGCTCCGCTGCGGCCCATTGTAAACTGAAATGAAGTACACGGACATCACGACCCTCCCCCGCCCCCCAATACAAATACAGAAAAAAACCGGAGCTTTTATATAACTGTAATGAAACCTTCATGGAAGCAATTTCGCGACCGACGGGCATCGATCTACCCGCTTTTGCGTGATGCTCGGCGACCACCCCTGTTTGAGTGACGAATCTGCTGGACCGTAACTGGATGGTCGACAAACTGAAAGTAATTGGACGAGATGACGATTTGACCTGCGGACTTTGAGAGAGGACGAAGGGAGAGAGAACGTCCAGTGACCCGCTCCTACTTCGCACGCTTCATTTTAAAAACTCCGTTTCCCCTGTTCGACCGCAACCGCCATTTTCTTGGAGCGCAATGTGCTTTGTAATTTGTGTTGGTTGTTGTTGCTCGTAAAAAAAGTACCGGGAGACTATAGCTGAAGAAATCGCGCGCAGGAAAAAAAAAAAAAAAAAAAGCGCAGGATCATTTATTGCGCGTGATCGGTTTAGCCGCTAAAATAGTATAAATGCTCGAAGGTGATCGTACGGCGTGACCCCAAGCATCCTGTTGTTGCTCTGTAGCCAATGAAATTACGGTGTTAGCTGATAAGAACACCATTGACCAATCAGAATTCGAGAAGCGACTACTACGTGATAAGCCACACCCTGTGTTACTTAAACCATCAGTGACTATTAAAAAAAAAACTGTATCGTCTTTGAGCGTTACTGATATTTGTTATGCCTACAAAACTAGTTTAATGTACAGAAATATTTATACGACATGCAGGTACCGTGACCCAAATCAATTTTGTAAAACACTTTTTTTTTTTAACACCAAGTTGCCATTGACTGATCGCGATATGTAGGGACTGCGGTTCTGTAGGCGTGGATTTAATGGGAAATGTGACTCGGACCGAGATATCTACTGCGTTTATTATGTAATGGCGATTTCCTGCAGGGGTATAAAGCAAAAGAAGAATGTTTCTTTTGATGTCTGTTACTTGTTACTATGCACAACCATAACTTTATTTGAAAGACTTTATGGGAACTTAATGGTAGTACAGCTGATGATAGTTTCGGAACGGGATATGAGAGGATGGCAGTCGTTTAATATTTGCTTATCGGTTGTTT